TTTTGCACTTTATATGCTCGAAATTAGGTGAGAGGTTGAAGAATATAACAATTTATTTTTTTATTTTGCACCTTCGAGAAAAAGAAAAAAAACCCAATGAAAATGAAATTGTGCTCATTAAGTTGTAAATATTCAATTTAGGGGAGCTTTGTGAATGATTAGCTTGTTTCGTGGTGCAAAGCAGTATTAAATTTTTTTTGAGGGTACAAATTGTCAAAATCAACTTTTCAAAGGTGCAGAGTGACATTTAAACAATAGTTAAGATGCCATAGAGAATCTTTAGGTGTGAAACCATCAATGGCAGTTTATTTAATAAACTAATATTTCATACCACGTAAAATTAATTAGGAACAAAAATGGACTAGTGACATACGAGAGTCGCAATTGTCTCATTGTACTTATTAGTTAAAACAAATATCAATTTTTTTTTTTTCTTTTTTCGTTAAAACAAATGCGATTTTCTTTCTTTCTCGAATTAAATGTTTTGTCTTTATGCATCTAATTCGTGATTTTTATTAATTTAATCAAATATAGAATACAGAAGAATAAATTAATTATTATTTAATGAAAGTGGCTAAATTGGAAATAGTGACGTTCATCATCAATTGCGTCATTTAAAAATAAATTTATAATCCCTCACAAGAAAAAAAAAAAAAAAAAAAAAAGTCAAAATCTATCCTTCTCAATCTGTGGGTTACTCGTTGTTTTTCCACCCCACATGTTATTATTATATTATTTTAAATGTTTTTTTCTTAAAAAAAATACTCGGAATTGGTAATTTCCATGAAACCCTTTATCTTTTGTCAAATTACCACTATTCCCCCACCAACTAATTTGATCAACTTGGTCCTTTTTACATAATTATTAAGTCCAACCCTAGCTTAGCTTTACACTCTGGTTTGTCCCATCAACTTGTTAGTCTACTTGATTTCAAACCCTAGCGGATGTCACATCAAAATTAAAACACCTAATTTTATATATATTCAACAACTTGGGAATTAATATAATACGAAAGAAAAAAATACACAAATTTATTTTTATTATTGTACAGTATTTTTATGTATGTGCATGAAAAGAAAAAAGATGTATGAAGATACATACATATACATATACATATACTATTATTGGATCACATGAAAATATAGATTCTGTACGTTAGCATGCATCTTCACAATATGTTTTGTCATATATTGTACGTTCATAATAATTATGAATAATTGAGTAATATCATCTTATATATATATATATTTCTCATTATTATTAATTATTATATTATTAGGTCATATGTATATATATATATATATATATATATATATATACTTTTCTTGTGTGATAGTAAATATATAATTCAATATATCATTGGGTAAAAAAATCAGTTAAACCTCTATAAATTAATACAGTTGAAATTAGCAAAAAAATATTAATTTGTTAGGTTTTTAGTTTTTACTGAGTCGGAACTAGAAGAAATTATTATTTAACCAAAGTTATTAATTTATCGATGCTCTATTGTATTAAATATTAATTTGTTATCCTAAAAAAAACTATTAATTTGTTGATCAAGCATGCCAATTTGTAGAGGTTGAAAAATAAAATTAACTTGGACTTTTTCTAACAGAGACAAGCCCTAGAGATTCCTTTATTACCAATTGTAATTTCCTAAATTTATTTCCATGTAATGACAAAAAATAAATAAATTAATAATAAACCACTCAAATTAAATAATTGTTAGAATGACAATTTGCTAGTTACGAGATTCCCAGTAGGTTTATTTTTTTCTAAAACCATTCGCATACATTGTATGTAGTGCAAGAAACATTCCATTCATGCAGAAGTCATTCATCAACTAATATATAAAAAATAAATTAATAATAATAAGATAAAATAATAATTCAATTAATTGTGAGGGGAAGATGCAACTAGTTCATTTGGGTAGTAAGATTTGAGTCATCAAAAGGCAACATGTAATTAAATTAATTAAATTAAAATAAAATAAAATAGGAGTGTTTGAGGGGTCAATTAAATGGATCTAATCGATGAAATAAAGGGTACCATGTTGAGCAACAAGTTGGCCTGTTTTTATTTTTCAACCTGCCCATTGGGACTATAGATTTTGAAATCTTATGAAGATTCTAAACAAAGTTGCTCCCTTTTATTATTACTTTATATATAAGATTTAATTATTTATTATTATAAGGATAATGTACTATTACCACACCTAAAGTTTTGTTTAGCTACACATATAAATTATATTGTTTAACAAATTACAATAATAATAAGGGTAAATTACGGCCATCTTTGAGTTAAGGTTAAATTACGAAAAACAACCCTCTTGTTTGGGTGATTACTAATATTCCCTCAACTATGAATTTTCTTACACGTTCATCCTTATGGTGTTAAATTGAACATAATATTTTAGATTTCGTGGAATGTTCTCAAGTTTGTACTCGTTTTGTGCAAAAGTATAGTTTTTGATACACCACAATCTGATATTTACAAGCCATGAGACACATTTTATGATCATCTTATTTCAAAATGTGGTGCTCGAATGGGGCAAAACAGTAAAAAAGTGGAGAATATTCCACGTAACCTAGAAGATTCCACTAAATTTGACACCACGAGGGTAAAAGTGTAATACGATTTATAGTTGAGAGGTAATTGTAATCACCTAAATATGAGTGTTTTTTTTTTTTTTATCTTACCTCAGAGGATGCTCGTAATTTATCCTAAAAATAAACAAGAATATATATATTTTCCTCGTGGACAAGTGAATATACAGAAATTAAGACAATTTAATTATGAATGTATTTTTATTTATTTATCATAATTATGAATGCATTGGTGGATGTAAGTTGTTCGAGGAAATGTCAGAGGATGCAAAGCGCATGTTTTGCAGCTTCCTCGCAAGTCTTTATTATGTTTTCAAACTCTCTCTCTATATTATAATATATTCGATAAATAATTTTTCAAATTTTCTTTTATAGATTATTATTTAATATATTTTTTCATGTATCTACATACCACTTCTATTTTACCCTCGTTGATCGACCCTTTTTGTACGTTAAATCTTCTTAAAAAACGATTGTAATACTTTTCGAATACGTGTTGTGATTGCTATCTGTATCACAAACAAGCGCTCGGTCCCAGCGAAAACCCCCCGACGCTCAATTCCACCCTTGAGTTAAGAAATACTACGAATATAATTAGTGCAAAAAATATAGATTACATCTAATCCTTGACAGTAAGGAATAAGGACTATTTTATACCTGTAAATAAAACAACATGGACTTGGGCCTTTTATTAATCTTCATTAGCTCAAATGAATCCAAGTGGGCTAATTATTATTATGTTTGTGCCAAGGCCCATCACTATTTCATATGAATTACCGATATACCCCTCGCACATTTGTTCTATTACGAAGCCGAAAATTAGATATCAGGTGGTTGTCAATCGTACATTTGCACATAATCTCACACACGCACACACATGTGTATGTGTAGAAAATTAGGCGCTACACGTAATCTCACACACTTGTGTACGTGTGTGCGCCTACTGGATGATTATTTTACCACATCTACGGTTAACAACTCACCCCGATTTCGGTTCAGAAAAATTCAAAAATCCAAGATAAAATTTAATGTCTAACCATCAAAATATCACACACACACATTAGTACATTACACATAGTACAACACTACTCAAAACACTCCAAAAAAAACAGGGGAAATAAATTTTACTAAATTCAAAAAAAAATAAAATAAAAAAAATCTCAATAAATAGTAAGAGCATCAACTTTTCTTGAGCAAGCCTTTGCCACGAACCACATTGTTCGAAGCCTTCTCGTTCTTCATAATCCGGTGAAAAAGCGCGGCCCTATCCTCCTCGACGATCTCCCTCAACAGCTCGTCCTCGATCTTCGGGGCCTGCCAGTGCGACGGATCCTCGACATGCTCGTCGCTGAAGATCATATCGGAAACCCACTCCTTCCACGTCGTCCGGCTGTGCTTCTCCTCCTCCAGGGTCCCGTTCGCCAGCAGCTGGTACACGTACACCACCTTGTTCTGCCCCGGCCTGAACGCGCGCGCCACCGCCTGCTTGCTCTTCGAAGGATTCCACTCCGAGTCCAGCAGGATCACCCTCGACGCCGCCGTCAAGCTTATCCCCTCCGCGCACGCCGTGATCGAAGCCAGCATCACCTTCGAAGGGCCCCCCGGCTCCTCGAACATGTCCATAACCCTACCCCTCTCGAACAGCTCAATATCGCCTTGCAGAACAAGAACCTCCCTCCCCTTTTTCCAGCCGTAGAACCGCTCGAATATTTGTATGAACAGATTTATCGGAGCAATGTTGTGGCAGAATATCAAAACCTTCTCGTTTCTTAGTAAACATCTTGGTATGAGGTTCATCACGAATCGAACCTTCGAACCGCATTTCAAATCGAATTTGAAATTCTCGAGATCGGTTAGTTCTTCAGGGGTTAAGTACTGGCCGGAGCACAATGTAGTAGTAATCAACCACGGATGAATCGCGCCGAGTGTGATCAGCAACTCTAATTCCAACGGGAACCCTTTATACACGAGCCTCCGATTTTGCATTTTCGAGAGGATGTCTTGTTGGAGATTAGTCGATTTCATCATTAGCGTGTAGCATTGTAAACCCGGTAGTCCGTCCGAGGCTCCGCCCTCGTAAACATCAATGAACTTGCTCGTAAGCTTCCTTAGGGTTTTGAGAGCCTCCGATCTTTCTTGACCTATATTCGAGTCGATCTTCTTCGAAATCTTGTCTATTAGAAGCTTCCTCCCTCGATTCTCGAGCGAGAACTGCGTTTGTCTCTGTTTGTTCCTCTTCTCGTATTTCGGATCGAGCTTTTTCAGAACCTCGTTGACGAAAACCGGCCTCGCAAGGCAGAGTGTGTTGAAGTACTCACCGAAGTTGTTCTGAAATAGGGTTCCGGATAGTAAAACCCTAAGCCTCGTATTGACCTTCATTAAACCCTTTCGAAGCCTTGATTTAGTGCTCCTAGGGTTATGCCCTTCGTCTAGTATCAAAATTCCGGGGCAATTCTTGAGCAATTTCGCCATGTATTTACGATGCGCGTAGGGCGAGTCTTCGCGCGTTAGGGTTAAAAAGGAAGTGTACCCCATGAGAAGAATGCTCGGGTGGGAAAGCCACCTCTGCATCTTCTCCAAGCAATCGAGCACATGCATTACGTCTTGGTTTCTAGGTAGGCCCGGGGAGAGTTTCATTCTTTGCTTCAACACTTCGCCTTTGTACGTTTGACCGCCGTGGATTTGGTAGACCGGAATCGGAACCTTCCATTTGATTATTTCCTTGTACCACGTGTACAAGGTCGTCTTTGGCGCGAGCACCAAAGGTCTTGAATTGGGGAAGAGCTTTAGGTAGCTGACAAGGAAGGCGATTATGAGGAGCGTCTTGCCCGCCCCGGGGGAGTGTGAAATCACGCATCCGCCCCTCTTCTTTTTCTTGTCCTCCATTCGAGAGGGTGTTAGAGAACCGGCTATGTTCCGCCAGAGGAATTCGAAGGCCTTCTTTTGGTGGACGAGGAGTTTGTCTTTTAGCTCGGGTATTAGGGCCCACACGTTGTTTTCGCCTTGTGTGAAGGCGGTTGAGGGGGCGGGTGCGGGGGTCGAGGTGATGTGGAAACGCCCGAATTCTTGGTCTTCGGCGTTGTTTTGCTCGGAATCTTCTTCGGTTCTTTGATCCTTGTTTCCAGTTGAATGTGTTGTTGCCACCTATAGTTCAAAATTAAAAAAAAATAAAAAAAAATAAAAAAATTAAAGAAGAGTAATTATAAGGAGTGAGATTGTTAAACTAAACGAACTTACGAATGGGGGCAGGATGTCCTTTATTTCCGTCTCCACAAATCCGCATAACCGGCAAACGGTTCCGACTTGTTCGTTGAGTATGAAATCGTGTGCGCATTTATTTTCCTCATTTTTATTTGATTTTTCCGCTTCAACATTGGGTTGTTGAACACGAGCAGAATCCTGTGACATTCCAAAAAAATAATAATAATAAATAAATAAAATTTACGTGTGTAATATCCATCCATAACAAGATAAAAGTTGCTCCATATATTCCATAATATCTGTTCGTTTAAGGTTTTTACACATTTGAAAAGTTAATATAAATGGCTGAATTTTCGGAAAAAAACACATAAAAAAAAGACTAAAATAACCTTTACCATCTAAAGAGATGATTAGAGAGTTAAGGGTAAAATAGGAAAACAATGCATTTAATGTGTTATTCGAACTCTAAATTGACATATAATATGAAAAAAAAAAAAAAAAAAATCATGGGTGTACGAAGACAGTGATCAAGATTATGAAATTGTACCTCATTGTCGTCTTGCAAGTACAAAGACACAAGGGCAAGTTCCATTTCTTTCCACAACATATCGATTTCCGACACCTCTTCTTCTTCACCACCGTTCACCGTCGTCGGTTTCTCTTCCGCCGCAGATTCGTTTCTACTCGCATCCTTCTTCGCCTGCAGTTCTTTCCAGTGATCGACCACAGGGGGCTGCACCGGTTCATTATCGAGAGTCGCTTCGATATTGTTCATACACCTTCTAATCAATTCCCTGCACAGCTGCGCAGTTACGGATCCCTTCCGGAAGCTTCTAACATCGTACGTGCTATCCCTTACATAAAAGCAATCCCTCTTCGAACTGCCCGAATGGCTGCCCGTTCTGTTATAGTTCCTACGAGACCCTCTCGGATCGTCTTTGCGCCCGTTGTCCATAAAGTCGAGATCGGACGTTTTCTTCTTACTCGACGAGGGGGGGTTGTTCATGTAAAAGTATTTCGAAACCATTTGCTCGATATCTCCGGATTCTTGATCGTCGTTCTCGACGACTTTGTAGTTCAGAATACTCTTGTCGATAAAAACCGAACCCTTTTCGGAAGAAGTGTGTTTAGAGACTACGGCGAGCCCGTTTTCCTTCGACCCTTTACCCGAAATTCCCGATTTTTTGCTTTTTTTCATTTTCTTATTGCTACTATTCGAACCGGATGTTCTTGATCCAAATTGCATGTAGTCGTTATCGGCTTGAACGGATAATGACATGTGCGTCTCCTCTTCGCTCGCATCGCTGTCCGATAAAACTTCGTCAAATTCCGATTTATACGTCTTGTTTTCTCCTAATCGAGTCACTTCGATTTCGTAATCGGGAAGATTATCACAGGCTAGATAACGCTCGGGTTGGATATTTCTCCGTTTCGACCTCCTCAGCTCCATAAAATCGTCGGAATTCAAGAACCCTAATTCAAGCCCAGCGGAAGAAGAACCTTCCGGAAGGGTGTTTAGAGCCAACTTCACGATAACGGGGGTAAATACGTCATTTTCCATCTTGAAATTGACAGTGTGAGTGTAGTCACTAGGAGGATCTGCTGTTTGACCTTCTTCAGTGGGGTTATATTCGGAAACCTCGTAACAGAGGTGGCTGTTTATCGTTCTTATGTCGAAGGCGGTTTTCTTCAGAATGGACGAAACAGCGAGCCACGAGAGATCGTTGCAAAACCTTCCGCAAAATAATTTGAATTTTTGGAGGGTAGAACAGTCCTCGGTGAAGCTCCAACGGTAATAATATTGACCCTCCTCGCACGGTTTCATTTCGAGCTTTTGGAGAATGGAAATTCGATCGATCTTCACCATGCTCGTTTCTTTACTTAGTTTCTTTTCTGACCAAATAAGATCGGGGCCTTGCTCGAGGTACAGACTTATGTAGAACTCGCAGTCGCACGCAGCTTCGTGCGGTTTTCTCTTGATTGATCTTATTTTCGCATCGATCGAGACCTTAAACAGAGAGAAACTCCTTTGTTAGGGTGATTTCTCATTTCTCTAGGGCAATATAATTAATATATAATAATGCATGAAATAGTGGGAGCAATAATAGAGAACCTCGTTATTTTTATTATCGGAGCTGTCGGATTTAACGAGCAGACAGAAATCAACTCCCGGTCTTAAAAAGGATGTGCAGTCGGAGGGTGTGGCTTTTCTTGATCGTACACGAAGATCTGATGTGGCAATGTCTTCCTCGATGAGCTCACCATTATCGAGAATTTGTGCTGAGATGCCTCCGTTATTAATTTTTAAGCGCTCCACTGGTTTCCATGAATCGGATCGAAAAGTCTCGAAAGCTATGATTTATTGGCAAAGTAATGAATTAGGAAGCTAGAAATCCGATCGAAAACTTAAATATCTATTTCAAAAAATTTAAAACAGGATAGCAAAAGGGTGCATGTAATTTATTATAAAAAAAAGTATAGTATTTTAGCAATGAAAAAGAATGAATTTTTATTAACGGAAAGTCTCGAAAGCTATGAATTAGGAAGCTAGAAGTCCGACGGTAATTTTTGATATTTAAGACGATTCTTTGTAATTTCATTTCGAAAAACAAAACAGGACAGAAAAGGATGTGCATGGAATTTATTATAAAAACGGGATAGCATTTAGTTTGCGACGAAAAAGAACGGATTTTCATTAGCCCTAATGCATGATAGTAAATGCAACAAGGAGATTCGAGTTCGATGCACGCAATCACGTTGCTCGATTTAGTCGATCTCAACCATCGTTCCCAACAGTCGTACATTATTACACTTACTTAACGACAAATGTAGGAAACAAGATGAATTGATTCGACAAGCAAATATTTAGCATGGCAAATGAAACCAAAATAAAATAAAAAAATCCATGCTTTGAACTTACGATGTGGACCGAAAGGATGGTTGATTTGATGTATTAGTCGTCTCTTCATGACTCCTTAGTATGCTTTCGATTAATTTTGTCGAATAACCGGAACTAAAACAGAATCGTTGCAGCTGCAATTAAAGCAAATAGAATGCAATACAAAATCAGCACATGAAAGTGGTGACAAAATGCAAGAACCTTAATTAACTAACAATTTTTTACCAATTAGAGTAATTAATCACTTTCATTACCCAATTATGCAAGTAGAGTGATGTTTTAATTAAGACAAAATAAGTATGTTTCATAGGTAAAAGATGCTGTCAAAGCTTTTGCCATTTTTTTTTTCAGACAGTTTTGTTGAAACTGTAAATAATTTACCCAAACAAGGTATTGCTTTTTCATACAAACAAGAAAGCCCCATCCAAATTTGCTTTTTTTTTTTTTAATTTATTTATTTATTTATTTTTCATTCAATTGAGACACACACACAGAGAATCACAGAGTCAGAGTGTATCTATATATGTATCTTCTTCTACTTCCTAATTGGCTCTGATCTCTGAACAAAAGAAATGTAGATCATCAACAGACAAAACCCCATGCACAAACAAAAGCAACAACCTTAAAAATCGCATAAAATAATTACCAAATTCAGAAAGAAAAAGTCAATTTAAATTAACTGAGCTGAATCCCAGAAACCACCGCCGCCGCCGCCGTCATCGTCAATCATCATCAAACACTGCAAAAGTCAAGAAAAAGACTCGTTTTTTAATTACCATATATAACAAATAAATAAAAAATTCAAGAAACCAATGAAAAAAAAAGGGGAATGCAGAAGTGTGTAACTGAGAAGTCAAACTCCGTCAAGAGAATTCATGATTCACGATTCCGGCCAGACAGAAATAAAGTAGCTGGAAACTTTTACTGATGAGAGAGAGAGAGAGAGAGAGAGAGGAGCCTTGCTTTAATGGGAGGGGCCTTATCAATATCGAACCGAATTCAGATTTTGAGAGTAAGTAATAAATAGCGAATCAGAGTGGGGGGTGGGGTGGGGGTGGGGGTCGGGGTGGGGTGTGGGGGTAAAATGAGAGCGAGTGTGAAAAAATAATAAATAAAATGAAAAAGGGAGCACTGTAAAAAAGAGGTAGAAAAGGACAGTAGAAAAAAGAGAAAAAAAGAAAAAGAATGGGAGTTTGTGCAAAGTGTCGCCTTTTTCTGCATGGAAACGGAAAAAGATGCAGCGGCGTTAAAGGGTGGTTCATTGGGAGTAACGAGGAGTGAAATGAAAAAGAGTGGAGTTGATGAGGGTATTTTCGTAAATGATTAGAGATTGAGGGGTGGGGTATTAGGATTGCGGGATTTGTGGGATCGGACGGTGGTGGAGGATTTGGGGTGAATAGGCAAAAATGAAAAAAGCAGGAAAAAGCAGAGAGAGAGAGAAGATCCCCACCTCAAAGTGAGAGTGGGTCCCATATTTTTGGTCGTGTTTGACCTTTTCTGGTCAGTTACAGAATCTAATAATCTATCCCCCCAAAAAAATCTTTGTTAGATAGTCTGATTGCAGCTTCGTGTCCGTCAATTATGCATGTTGTTATATGGGCCGGGCCGTAAAATGTACTCGTCCGTAAATTGGGCCTTTTATTTTTGGAGCTGTGCAAATTACAATTCCATTTATATAATCGATATGGGCCCGTATTTAAGCCTTCTATCAAGGATTGGGTACGATTTCTTTTATTTATTTATTTTTTTTTTTTTATTATTTATAAATAATAATAGATGACAGTTTTATGTTTAATTTCTACAATTTCAGTTCAGTATTCATGGATCGATTCTTGATCTTGATCACCGGTTAACCGATTATGGGTCAATGAACCGGTTCAAGGGGTCGAACCGACCCGTGATGTGTTTCATTAATAGAGTAGGGATCCTTCAACTCCCAATGTGATCTTACATGTAACGAAATAAACTGTTTTTCGAGATCTTCAATTCATGAAACGGTGCTGTTTGGAGTGGAAAAGAAGTGTTACGCGTTTCTTCGTTTCAGCAGCTGCGTGGGTAACGTCACAAGCACATCAGTCTTCAGCCGATAACTCCTCTCGTGTAGATCACATAGGCTAGCCGTAAATGTTCTGTATATACAGTAATTCACTAACGAATGTGAAGAGAGACCACACCTGTAACAATGTCCTGATTGGAACTTCTACATACCTACCAGATAGCACAAAAATCCACTAAAGCTGTTACTAAAAACATTAGTAGGGCTAGAAAATCTCACCAAGAAATTGCCCAAATGCAGTTTATAAAAAAATAAAATCAGGCTGTACAAGACTGTCATCCATGACAAAAACCTAGTCCAAACACCTCATTGAAGAAACTCCAGCTTAAAAACTCCCGGAGTATCACCTTCTTACGGTCATTCAGAAATTAAACGAGCACAGGGAATACAAAAAGCGCGTCCACTGTATAACAGAACAAGTTCGAAACAGAAAGAAAACTATTGTTTCACCGGAGAAGTATATCGAAAACCTCTAGTCTACTATCAAAGATCCTAATTATAATCAATCTTACAAACTACCCGTCCCCAATCCTGCTGCTGAAGAGGCACTTCATATAGCCAAATCAGAGTCCAAGTCCATAAATAAGTCGCTCAATAAGAAATTACTGTCTTCCTGTCTTCCAGGCATCAGGAAATCGAAATCATTATCATGTCCAGATAACCCCTGCGCATCTCCACTCTGTGGCTGAGACGACGGCGGCACATTCAGTGCCGCTCGATTTCCGGCACCGACCTGAGGTGCCGGAGCAGAATCCAACGAAGCAAGAAGCTCTTCCACGTCAAACATCTCATCTAATTCAAACTTCTCAAATTGGTCCTGTCCACAATTTTCCACATGGCTAATCTCTCCATCACCGTTTGAGCTCGTGGGTTGTTCCACCTCTTCCTTCACTTTCTCCCTCGGAAGTTCCTCCACTACTTCTTTCTTCACTTCACTCATCGGAGTAGCGGGACCCACATTACTCTCTTCGGCTTTCATAACGGAAATATCAACCCTTTGTCCAACATCATCGCAACATATCTCAGAAACACCAGACGAGTCAGACGATACAGCTGGCAACACAGACGAGTCTCTGCTGTAACCAGGGAAATTGAGGCGTGCACATGGGCCATACATAATCCTTGCAGCTTCATCGTAAGCGAGAGCAGCTTCAAATCCAGTGCCGAAGGTGCCTAGCCACAGCCTGCCTCCTCGGTGGGGCTCTCTAATCTCGGAGACCCATTTACCCCATGTCCTCTGCCTAACACCTCTGTAATTGCAGCAAGAGTTTTCAGGGCCGCCTTTCCCTTTCATGCATCCTTTTTTTGATCCTTTTGCAGGAGCTTTCCGGATGGCCTTGCTGCGATTGTCAACAGAATCGATCTTTGTGTTGTACTTCTTCCACTTCTCTAGGATATCTGCAACACTTGTTGCACCTTCCTTCCGGCTTCTTGATTTTCTCTTTCTTGTGCAGTCTATTGGTTGGTACGCCGTATTGGAATCTTGATTTAACATTGTCATGTTCTGCAAGAAAAGCAAAAACCATTAAGTAAAGAGACTATTGTCTTAACAACAGACAGATCGGCAAATGAATCTAGAGGTAACAAAGAAGCAATCAGCCCAATAATTTGCTGAAGTCCTACCAGAAACCACTATGAAAATTGGACCGTCGAGATTTAAATAATTTTCATCACTGATATCATTTTCTGTAAAATCACAATTTTGTTTTGAAGAAATACCCCGTTCTAGTGGATTCAATTAAACCAAAAAAGTTAGATATCCACGGCCAAACTTAATCAGGCAGAGAAGACCAATTATATTTTATGCCCAACTTTATGGTGACTTTGACCTACTAAAAAGAACCGGTTGATAAAACTCCTGAGAAAACCCTATACGCCTAGGAACTACATTCCTTTGCCGCCAAGTAACCGGAAAAAGAAAAAAGAAAAAAAACCCCACAGTTTGCCCCAATATTCCAACTGCAGATTCACAGTGAAATGAACAATCCTATCCTTGTCGAACCACTATCCGCCACCAAATTAGCGCGGAAAGCAGTCGGAAACTAAAATACCCACCCAGAGCCATTGCCTCGATGGAATTTGATTAGAAACCAAAAACCCTAATTACAGGCCCAAAAACGGCGCAGGAAACCTAATTGAGCTCGATTGCAGAACCAATCACCACCACACAACCACGAAAATCATCACAAGGAAACGGAAACCCACACACGGAGAACGAAAACTCCAACTATCAACAAAAAATCACAAAACTACAAATTCAAAATCAACATACCTTTTCACAATCTCCGCCGGAGTGCGATTCTCCAAAACGAGAAACGTTGCTTCCGTTCGCCAGTATTTGCAGTTCTATCACCTTCTCAATCAATATATCTCGCCGCTACGCCCGATTAAAATCCCCAAATTGAAGAAAAAATTGGCTGTTTCGGTTTTAGGTTTGTTCAGTGGTTTGATTTTGCAGTGAGCTTTAATTTGTAATTTGTGTTGTAGCAGAATAAAAGGCAAAGAAATCCTTTCGTTGTGCCGAAGCTGTTTGGCTATTTATATCCTTCTCTAGATATTTCCAGAATCACGATTATTAAAAAAATCGAGATATTTCTATTAGGTTTCGGCGTGGTGACGTGGCTAATTGGGTAACGGAGATTTCACCACGTGTTACGTGAAGGCCCTCGAACCATACAAGTTTTGTGATTGAGAGGGGCTGTGATCGTGTGCGGCTAGCTGTACTGCTATTGCTTGGGGGCTAAGCAATAGTCTCTTTAACTCTTTGTTTTATCATTTCTGACCCCCATAGTTTAGTCAAACTACGGCTGTGCCCCCTGTTTCTACGCTGCTGCCATCCCTACGCCCCTAATATTATTGCCTTTATTATTTTTGGGATTTGAGAAGATTTCCTAATTTAATATATAAATTTCATATTTATTACACCATCCTTTAAAATGTTAAAAATCAGCTTTTGAAAAGAAAAATAAAATAAATCGTATTTCATATTATTTGTCACTTTAGAATTTTAATAATATATTAATAATTATTTTCTCAATTCGATTTTTTTACTTGAGATCAAATTAGTGGGAAAAGAAGACATTGATAATAGTGCTATTTTTTTTAATAAAATTCACACACATTTGTTATCATTAATTTTCTTAATACGTTGGTGTACATACCAACTCGCTCAAATCAGACGTGTGGATTACAAAAGTCGTAGATAGAAGACGAACGGTTGTATTATTTGAATATTGAACACACCTTAACAAAGGGGTTAAAACATTTATTTATACCTAGTGCATTGGGCTGAAGTTAATTAGTTGAGATTGTCAGGCTCAAACATTATTTGAATGCAATTGGGCCTTCGTTGTAGTGATCATCAAAATTAGGCTTTTGTCCCACTAAATAAAAAAATTGTAGGTCCATTGGGTTAACCCAATTATACATCAATACTAGAGTAAATCAAATACAACACATCAAATGTAAAGAAATCTACAAATATGTAATACAATCGTATAAATTCATTTTTTTCTTGATCGAAAAAGAATGGAACTTCAATTCGAATACTTGTGTCGCAAAAAAAGTCGTTAGTGCAACGAGTTTTGTCCGGTCAAAAAATCATTTGATTGTCAAGTTAGTTCTGAATGCTAAAATAATTTAAAGAATTCAAAAGACTGTTGGATTAATTGCATAATTTTATTCGTCTTTGTTTTATTTCGAGCTTTATAAGATGGGCTTAAACCTCTTAACCAAGGTCAACTGTAGATTCATATTATGGTCAATTTGGATTTTCACTAACAAACTTGGTCAACTTGGGTCTGATTAAGAATGTAAATTCTTCTTTCTCTTTGTTAATTGTTATAAGGTCAAAGGGAAAGAAAATACAAGAAAGAGAAAACAATGTGATTAAACTTTAATTAAGAAAAGAAATATTAATTAATAAAAAAAGAGTAAAGGATAAACCAGAGTTCTCCCAGTGCAGCGTCACGATGACATCATCGCAGTCGTAATCGAGAGATTTGGTAAAGGATAAAGTGGGGGTCCACGTAAAAACAAGAAGATCAATATTAGGACTGCATGTGCGCCACGTGTCAAGAGTGGAGTCACCCAGTGTGTGTTTGAGTGAGTCGACGTGTACATTATAATGATGTCAATCATGACCTTTTATGAATTATGCTGAGTCATCGATTATCTTTTATTGGGGAATGGGAAAATCGCAATAGCTGACGAATCTAAAAACGCGCTTTCCCCTCTACTATGGAAAGCCCAAACAACTCACAAGAAGTAATGCAATTGTTTATTTAAAACTTTAAATACAATTTAGCATCTTTGATACTTATCTCCTCAAGTATTCATTTATAATAATTAATAAGTACCTATTTTTCAAAATATTATTTAATTTGTATCCCCAAATTTTAAATAGACAATACTGGTCTTAAATTTATAATCTTTTTTATTGGATTGAATAATTGAAAAATAAATAAAATGGTGGAATAATTCGATATAAGGAAGATTCACAAATCCAGAAAAACGAGCGTCTCTGGAGGACAGTGGTATGAGTTATGCATTAAATTCGATAAACTCGTGTTTTGACGATTAATAATAGAATACTCTGGCAAAATAGAAGTTTGAAAGAAAAAGATGGGGTTTGTGCTAGGGTTTAATTTATTAAATAAAATGTTTTACGTTTGTAAAAAAAAAAAAAAAAAAGTCATGTATTTATCAAGCCCCGAACTTTAATTGATTTTCACGTGACTAATCTTTTGGGCTACATCTGTGTAGAACTCATATTTCAGGCCCAATAAAGGTAAATATTCAGGCCCAAGCCCGACAAACTTCCCGCAAACCACACAAATTTGAAATTCAAAATCCCTAGAATTTTCCCCCAAATCAACAAGGATGGAGACAATTAGGTTTCCAACATAATCGATTCGGGCAAGAAGGTACGATGTATTCTGAGCTACTCTCAATTCGTCAAATTTCCTACTGAAATTATTGTGCTATCCAATTTACTTTGATTGATTGATACATCTTCTGGAAAATTCAGGAAATGATTCGTCAAATTTGAAATTTTCATCTCTGTTCGCTTTCATTCATGCTGGTGCAGGTGCACCCACGTTGACTGTGTAGCAATTGATAACTGAAGTTTCATTATTTTTCATCTGTCGTGTTGGTATGAGCTGTATTTTTATAAGTGGTGCTTTGTTACAGTAAACAATAGGTTGATTGCGATTAAATTCGTAAGTAATTTATGCAGTCGTATGAAATATATGCTTTGTGAATTTTTAAGGGTGATCTTTCATGTGTTGTATGTGTAATCGTAGTAAGCGAGTTACGGAAAATCATGTATGGATCACAAGAGTGAAAAGAGACTCACAGATATCTTTTGACGGATCAAGTAGAGAATTTGTTACAACTCTGAAAAATTAATTCTTTTTGATTGCAATAGAAAACAGTACAACTGTAATCACAGGATACAACGGGGTTCGTATACGGTGCTTCGCTTCGGAATGTGGCACCATCTTTCTTCGCCCTTTTAACCGAATAAAAAATGACAAAAACAAGAAAAAAATAAACAAAAACTAGCCCCCTAATGTGGGGAAACAACAGTGGAGACTCAAATGCTATCACCAAAACGAATATTGGTTGCTCTATTGCAGGCCGTTTTTTAATTTGCTGCAATACCTAGTTTTAACTTTAACTAACAAAGGGGTAGATCTGCTGGAGGTGGCTCTATTTTTTGCAGTTCGCCGAGACCATTTTCGACCAAGAAAGCCATCGCTAAACCCCATGTGATGTGGGCATCCAAGTGGCAGTGCATCAGCCAGACCCCTGTTTGTTGGTTAAACGTATTTGTTAGTGTTTCAGTGGGGAAACAAAAGTGCATTTTCTTATGCTTGTGTTTTTTCTCGCACTAACCTGGATTATCGGCAACGAATCTGATCACTGTCCAACCTCCCACAGGAACACTAGCCGTATTTCTTTGAGGTGGATCAACGAGGTTAAATTTGGTTGTGTCTCTGCTCGGATCGAAGTTCCCAAACCCTTCAGCAAGTATGTAGAAGTCGTAGCCGTGAAGATGAATGGGGTGGTTCTCTGCTGTGAAGATACTTGTTCCCTGCAATACCAACTGCACCGTTTCACCGTATTTTAACTTGTACAGCTTAGTCCCCTTAATGGGTTGCCACAGAGATCGGCTCACATTCCCAGTGTAATCGAATGTGAGGGGAGGGTTTGCTGGAAAGTCCGTTGTGAACACTCCGGGTATACCTTGCTGATGTGCTTGAAGCAAGGAGAAATTCGAAGGCAGCACAAAAGATTCATTGTTCATGCTGGCTGCAAATCGGGTCCCGTTTGGACCCTGACAGGTGCTAGAACTTGCACCGGGTGGGCAGTTGATGAGTCCTAATCCAACGGTGAATAACAGATTATGATCGATTTCAGTGGGTAGCGGGACCTGTCTTGGGCTTCTGAAGCTGGTTGTGAAGGCAGTGGCTGTGGCTGTGTCGTTGAATGCTGGCATAGCTGGCATAACGGGTTTGATTGTGGCCCCTTTGGCTGGGCAGGGGGCGGATTTGTATTCAAGAATGGCTGTAGTTGTGGTGTTATCGAACGGAGCGCCTTGACCACTAGCGTAGGCTTGTCCGGCGATGTAGTATCTCGCTGGCGGCTGATCGGCGGTGATTAGAACATCGGTGGTCTGGCCCGGCCCGAGCATGAGAACAGAGGTGGTGAAGGGTTTTACGTAAGAGGCGTCGGCTCCTACTACAGTAAGCTTGTGATTAGCCACTTTGAAGAAGAGTTGTTGGTTGAGGGCAGAGTTGACTACTCTCAGGAGATTCGTCTCCCCTGAGTCAACTGGAACTATTACTGTATCTGCATCAAATATGGCGACTCGAATTTGTTATATTTATTATCTTAACAGAAGAATCAATTACTAAAAGAAGCATAAGATCAAGAAAAACAACCTTTGGTTGAGCAATTGTAGAGATCACCAGGTTGACCGTTGATTGTGTAAGCATCGGAAACATTAGGTGCAGCTCCTGTTCGTGTGGCTTGTCTCACAACATCGATTGGATTTGCGTCCCACCATTCACCTGGTCGCAATCGACATCGGCTTTTACTCAGAATCTGAATATACAAAAAAATTTGATAGACAAAAAATAAAACGTGAGTTAGTTACCAAGAAGGAGCGCAGTTTCGCGGTTTGGCGTTGTGAAGGGGTATGAATCTCCTTCTTTAGGGTGAATGATCAAAGCTCCGTAAACCGTGGCTCTGAGCCACGAACTGTGAGCGTGCCACCAAAGTGTACCTTCTTGCCCTTCGATTGTGAATCGGTAAGTGTAACTCTTTCCTGGTCTAATAGGGCATTGAGTCACAAATTCTGGCCCGTCAGCCCATCCAGTTCTCATTTGCCTGATTCCGTGCCTGTGTATTCGTATAAATAACACGTTATTCTATATTTAAAAAAAAAAATTATAATGTAAATATATATAAATCTCAATTTAATGCCTGCCATTCTGCATGCGTGCATGCATGCATGGAATTACCAGTGAATAGTGACGTTGTAGCGAGCTCTGTTAACAACGTTGACCACTAACGTGTCGCCGTTGTTGACTTCCAGCGTGGGCCCTGGGTACATCCCGTTTACTGTGATAGTGTTGTGTGTTTTGCACAGCCTCTTCACTGGTGTTGCTTGCACCTGTTCCATGGAAATATTTTACCATCTTTTTTTTATAAAAACAAGAAATTTAAGCGACGTAAATAGATGAGGTAACGAGCTGCTTACTACAAAATCATGGTAATGGACTTTTGCATTTGTTGTCTGCATAATTAAGAGAAGGGGGGGGGGGAATACCAAGAAGAATGGGCACACCGGGTTTCTGATACTATTTCTGAAGCCCCCCATTTGGGGGTAAGTGTTTTTGTTTGTTTTTGGATTAAAGAATGATCGTTTGGGTTGTGACTTGTGAGAGAATAAGAGAGAGGTTTTGTTTATTATATAAGAGAATAGGAGAGAGAGGGGGGGGGGGGGGGTGGTTTTGAGGTTGGCAGATTAGGTTTTGATTAGTGTAGAGATTTAAGAGAGTAATACTTAGTTCAACCTTTAAGAGGTGGTTGCACCCACTGACTGATCAGAATCAAGAAAACAAAATTATTAATTCTTGATTTATTTACAAGTCATTTTTTTCTTTCTCTTCTTGTGGTTGGTTTTGAACATAGACTTGTAATAATTAATCCAAGTTGTGTGATTAATTATTGTAGCAGTAAGTTTAATTTGTTCAGAAATTTTGCAGCTGATGGACGATAAATCTTCCATCGTACGCGTTTACTATCGTCTTTATTTCCCACCCAAATACTCGAAATATTCTAATGTAAAGATTTTACATGCGCACACACACAGACCAAGTTAACATCTCGTCGCGCGAAGAAAATTTACGTAATTTTTGCTAACATTTTTTTCAAAGCTGCAAATTCAAAGTTTTGAAAAAAAAAAAAGATGGAGAAATCTAATTTCCAGATGAATTTTGAATTAATATTCTGAAAATCATGTGATTGGTACTAACTTTTTGACTTATTGGCAGAAGTTTGTGTGCGCTTGAAGAATTCAAGTAGATGTTCGAAATCATTAATTACTTGATCTTTTTTTTTAATTTGTCTTAGTTCATTTCACTATTTTCCTGCAAATTTGATTAGTTATTGGTGCAAGTATAAATTTGTTTTCATATTTTCTGACTACATCGTATCATCTATTACATGTAGCGATGCATGCTATGCTGACGAAAATTATCTACATACGTGTCATTAATTAATTAGTTGTTGGTGTAACATCTTAAAATACAATTTTTATTTTTATTTTTGGGATGACCAATCAACAAAAGTATACAGAGAAAAAAAAAAAGTTTTGTTGCATTAATTGGGTGACAAATGTAATTTGTAATAATAAGATATTAAAGATTCGGATTCAGTCTCCATCTTACAGTTAATTATGAGAAGCCCCCTTAACTAAACTTGAATAATTAGGTTGCCTGTCTAATGACCTTTTTATTTTATTGTTTTACTTTTTTTTCTTGTAATTCTTTTCAAGACAATTTCACACTCAACCTTTTCTTTTATTTTTAAGTTTTTTCGAAATGTTTAAATTTTAGATCATTTTTTCAACGCGTAAAATTGCATTATTGAAATAGTCAAAGTGAGATTTCAATCTAAAAATACAATTTAGAGGATATATAGTTATTAATTCCTCAATTCCCATTCTAATATTTCGAATTCATGACCAAATTGGTCATAGGTGTTACGTACTTACCAACGGACTATATTATCTTGAGTTTAGGGTTTCTTAAAATGAAAGATAAAAGAGAGATTGCCGACAAAGATTAAAATTATTGAACAATAAACAATAATAATATGCATCAAATTGGTAATTAAGTTTCTTGCTGACTTTTACATGATTGAATCGACACAAGTCTGGTGAAAATTGGGAATCAAAGATTTGACAGAGGAACAACTAAAAGAAAATGTGAGGTAAAATTAAAATAAAAAATAAAAATTCACCCCATTTTTCGCACCATGCATAAATTGTTACTCCACTAGCACTATACTATGGTTCTTGAAATCACCCATTATTGGTGGAAATGTAAGTGACTCCGGATGTTGTGGTGAGGTGAACAAATTATCTCGATTTTCCTAAACTTTCTGTAATCACTCACATTTCTATATCTTATTTATTATTGGTTTGAATTGTTTGTTTTGCCCGTATTATAATATTTTGATAGGTTTTTACTTTTTGCCATAGTTGTTATTTATAGTCACTTTCTGGCTTTAACATATTGCCTGAAACTCTTTTATATAGTTGATTTTTGATCTATGTACATTTTGAAGTTCCAGCCCAACTTCTCACCCAAATCGAGTGTTGTTCTTCTATACAAAAAAAAAAAAAAAACATTGGTAACTAGCTAGCCTAGTAAGCTATGGAATTTGGTGCACTAATAATTAAGGAACGTTGATAAGATATATTAATTGCATAATATTTTTTTTGAATGGATGATTGTCTATCTTAAATGATTTTTGATTTTTAAAATTTGAAATCATTCTTTTAAGGTAACCGGCCCGAATTTTGGCCGTCCCATTAAGCATTGTTACAGTCCTATAAAACTGGGCCAACTGTTACAGTTATTCGGCCCGCCCGACCTACACACGTGAATTTTCTTCTGAATTAATTTAAATTAAATTCAAAAATCATTTAAGTGCCAATTTCAAATTGTGGTTTTAACAATTATTCTGATGGCTTTGGTTGAAGTTTAGTTTCAAACACATTATTCATTTTTTTTAGCTCCTTTAGTCTATGAAAATTGTTAATAATTACTACAGCCCTAAATGTGAGTGCTCCAGCTTTCTTGTACAACCCATTTGCTAATCTGATCAAAACTCATATTACACTGATGGCTCTCATCTTAATCTTTCGCCCCGATACTTGTAATTTACCAATTAAATTTAGCCAACCAACCGGAAGTTCCACCACCACCGGTACAATATCCAGTAACTAGCATACTTTTCATATCTAGACACAACAGTTTTATATGGGGAAAGAAAACTAACGAAATAGATCGCTATATTCTGCTATAAATTTCCCGCGCCATGAAACCGATAGGTTAACGGCCAATCCCTGAATCAGTAATTCAAGCTGCAAAGAGATACACAATATGGAAGATAACATGTATGGCAAATGCCAAAGCTCTATTGCTCCGGTGGCCAAAGTGAAATTTCCATCAGCTTAGGCATTAAACATAACAGTGTACCACACCAATGCACGGGTAGTTTTCAACCTTTAATTTACACACAATCACACACACACACGCACATGTAAAATATGTACGAGTCGTACACGTGTATGATACGATATAATCGGGTAACTCTTCGTTTGAAGAGGATAGAACAAATTCAAATTAAGTGTCTCAAGAGATGAGATTCTATATGGAATTAGTAGCAATGCTAGTGAATATTTAATTCAATACGAGTCCATGCATTGTACACAATATTATATTCACCTAGTCAAAGGAGAGAAGACAAGCTGCTAACAATAATGTTTAAACATGAAATACAGATCTCATAATAGATCTGCTTGGCAATATCAAATTACTTAAGAATGACATAAAAGAATTTGCAGAAGAATTCAAGTTACGATATTACATTTAAGATCCTGGATCAAATCAATTGAAGATGGAAAATGCCTAACTAACTATATCAGGATGAACATGAATTTTCAATTTCCCTATTGGGAACAAATAATACAATTCAGTCGAATTAAACTCAACTAAAATCGAAGAAACTAACTAGAATCGTGTACCTTTCGGGTTGAATCCCATGAACACCGACCAGATCTGATCTGATTCCAAGTTACACGCGCGTGGACATGGCCGGAGAAGCCGCCGCAGCAGCGGCGGCGGAGGAGGCGGCGCCACCTAGGAACGAGAGAAATCCGGAACCAAGCGGTTCCTGCTCATCCAAAAACAAATCCTCAGGCATGCGGAAAGCGCCGTGAGCGCAAACGACGGAGAGGCCGACAAGCAAGGCGGATATGAGCACGGATCCGACGCTGGTGAGGAACACCACAACTATGGTGGAGACCACCAGAATCCCCAGCACCTCCCGATCCGAAAACGTGCGGCCGGCGACAACGACCGGCTGATCCGAAGGGCGGAATGAGTACAGGAAGAGCCACGCGGCGAGGAGAGAGAAAAGGACGAGGAGCGAGAACGGGTGGGAGATGAGAGAGAGTGCGAGGGAGAGAGCGAGGAGGGATATGTAGTTGATGCGGAAGTAGGAAAAGTTTTTGCGGATGCGTGAGGCGGCCTCCGAGAGGGAGTCTGGCCGGGCGAAGGAGGAGCGATCCAGAAGCTCCAACCAGGGGCGGCGCTGTGAGAATCCGTGGCGGATTGTGCCGCTGAGGCGGGAGATGAAGGCGCGGAAGGCCGGCGTAGAGATCGGCGGCTGGGAATCGGAATGGGGATTTGAGATCGGAAGGGATGCCATTGCTGATTTGATTTTGAGAGCTAATTGCCTGCTCTACGGGATTCTGTTATAAATACAGCTCCCCTCAATTATTTTGTGTTTCCTTTATAATATCACTATTATTATAATTATTATTATTTATTTAATAATTATAATAATAAATTGTATGTTATAGTACTAAAAGGCCCCTGAATGTTTATTAACACTTGGATATGAACTGCGAGTTATGAAGCGTTAACACAAACAGGATATTCTGAAAACAAAACGAAATTACTAATGTATCCACACTGAAAAGAGCAATACAAAAAGTTAAATCTTCAAATCTTCAAATGGTGATAACATAATATCAATTACTCTCTGTTTCTCTCAAGGGGGGGAAAAAAAAGAAAAAAGAAAAAAGAAAAAGAAAAGAAAAGAAGATTCATCTTGAACATGTCCAATGGTGGTTTTGAAGTGATGCTTTCACTGCAGGTCTTGGTGGAAGCTAATCTGCTTCAGGGGAAATTACCTAATACCGTGAAAAGACGGTAACACCGCGATGAGCGGGTCTCCATAACCGACAGCTTCTGCGGATGTAGACAAAATAAACAATAGTCAGATCATAAAATAAACGGTTTATATGAAGATGGATGCAATTGTAGAGAACTAAACGTGAAGAAGGAGCTGTGTTTTGTTTGAACTATTCATTTATTGATAAATAGGCAAAAAACGAAAATCAAAATTGAAAGGAAAGGTTCTAATTTATACCTCCATCATTGTATAAGAGCTTCAGGACTTCTCCAGCTACGTCGGACTGCCGTGTTATTATCGCAATGTAGAATAGTTAGTATATAATTTCAAAGGTAGAGAGAGAGAGGTACAGATGAGAAAGTTAGAAGTAAGTCTTACATTGACAGGAAGCTCGGTGCCGAATTGATCCAGATAACCTATAACTTGCCCTTCCTTGATCAGATCACCCTGGATGAAATGGAAAAACAGAAATATAACAATGAATCAAATGGAATCAGATCACCCTGAATAAAAAATTGGTCATGAAAATAACCTAAAAACAAACAGAAGACAGATAATCAGATTGAGGAAGATACTATTGCAACACACTTTGGGATAGTGAAGTTGGAAAGGATAATCCCTCTAACCACGTCGCACATTTTATAAAGCGAAATTGGAAATAAGCTTGGAGATACCCTACAAAGTAGTTGGACTCTCTTATTGAATAAATAAATTAGAGATAATATTGCATGCCTTTCCACTTGGCAAATGCTAATCATTTTGCCTAAACCCACTTGCTTAGTAAGATTAAAAGCCACTCTTGTTTATTCTTCTTCCAGATACAGCTGCAATGATTCCCGGAGATATTACCATTCCTCTCCAACTATATATATAAACCAAGTTACCAATTTACATCAAACCTATTTGCCTCTTCTGATCCCCTAAACCTTATATATGTCACACATCAGAGTTATCATGCATAGAAGAGCATTAGTGTTTTGGAGGTTTAATGACCAATGTGTACAAGGAAACACCATCTCGTCAAGAAAGTCTGTTTACTTGGGTGTATTAACTATTAAGTAGTGATTAACTTAAGCACAAGTCATTTACTTGCGCTTTCCTGCTGTATGGGGGAGAAGGGGAAATCTATTACAATAGACGGAATGCTCCTATCTCTCGGCAAAGATCTTATCAAAAGTGCTCAACAATCACGGGTATTTGAGGTATAGAATGTGTTATGGACAGTTAACAAGCAGGGACAGCTCAAAATAGGAGTTCAGAGGTACTGTTTTGATCAAATGGAATTTTAGGGTCTGAGACAATAAGATACACACTACACAGTTGCACGCGCACAAACACACACAAAGAAGGAAATCATCCTTAAACAGGCAGTACCTCTTTACAAGCAGGCGGTTGCTTCTTTCCTTTTAGGGTCCTGGCTCTTCGGAACGAACCAACCTAGTACAGGAATTGGAGACAGAGTTACAAAGAATATACACATTGTGTAGCAACCAGCCCACTGCTAACTAAAGGGTCATGCAATACATACCGTGGGTGATGATACTATAACATAGCCACTAGATCCAGAAGCATCCAGTGCAGCCAATTTTGCTGCCTTCTCAACAGAGACATTGGCAAATGGGTTCACCTTTTCTGCAGAAGATTTAGATGGGGGAGGGGGAGCAGAAGGACTCAATTCGTTTGCTGGTTTACTTGGAAGAGATGGTACGGTTGTTTGGCTAACAACAGGTGCAGAGATTGCTGGGCCATCAATGTTCCGTTTCATGTGGAGTTCAAAGCCTCCAATCTGTTACACAATGAAAACCAAAAATTATAGAAAGAATGTCCAGAGCATTGATCGCCACAATAAAAAGCCGTCAGTGCTCATTGGCAACACTTGTGAATTTATTCCATCAATATTATTCAGATTTAAGATTTGCAAACTATGGTATAATGCCATCAAGAACGGAATTTTTCTCCCAACAAGTCAATATAAAACACCTAATCATTATCTAACTTTTGAATCGACAAGATCGTTTGAAAGCTATTAAAAAGGTCAATGCACTTTGGCATTCTTTTTTGAAAAGGCACATCGTCTTGGTGCTTTGCCATAGTTTGTTAAGTTGTTTCGTTTCTGCAGTAATTTTTTAAGTTTTTTTTTTCTTCTTTTTTGCTATATTTAATTAATTGACTCCAGAATAACCTAGCACCAAACTTTCTGGAGTCTGCCTTGCTAATATCTGTATTTTGGTGACAAAATAATGCAATTTCCAGATTATGCATTACTTAAGTGGTATAGAATTCTGCAATCACCAAATGAAAGCAATTACAGAGCATACATGTAAAATATTATTTACCTTAACTTTAAGCTCGGCGATCTTTGTCTCATCACAGACTTCTGACAGCAGGTTCTGAAATGAATAAACTAACATGTTTATGAGTAAATAGATAGAAAATATCAGACTACATGATTGACCCAAGAGAATATTTGTTCTGGTGTTCGGGAGTTCTAGTGTGATGAAGGAGAAACACTGTTAGGGGGTCTTCGTGAGTGATATTAACATCTAAAAATCATATTAGCAAATAGCATTTTAGGCTGATGCGTCGGATCAACATATATTTTGCTTACATGAACTCTTCAAACAAACCTATTCTTGCAATGATAGAAAATGTCATGACTGTGATTGTCCAAAGATCAGATTGAAAATGCTATAAATGCCATAAATGACCCTCATGCCTTATGTGCTACAAATTATATAATTCAATCCAATCAACTCATAGTTTTTATACAACATGGCATTTAATTCTTAAAAATACTGGTAGTATTAATATTGTATCATTTACTAAGAAAATCTTAACCCTGATTGATCACAGATAAACATATATAAAACCTTAAACATAGTTTTCTATCTGCAGATCAGCTGACCCTACCTTTCAATTCTAAATCATCTAATAAAAAAAACTTCAATGATTATGTTCTTTGGCAACACTCTGTTCTTCATAAATATAATAGAACAAAATTAAATTCAAAATAAAACCTCAAAACCATTGGGAAAGGTAGCATTGATTGGTGATTTCTTCTCCGGTGATCCATTTTGTGGACTATCTGCTAGAACTGCTCCATTGGGGTCACCTGGATTTGATATAGAAGTTATATGATTCTGAATTGAAGTCATTACAAAAGGGCAACAAGACATTTTTTTCTTTTCTTCAGTAAGGGATACAAGAAGACAACAACGCACCTTTGGATTTGGCTGTAACAGTAGCTTCAGAGGTCTTCACACATGACACAAGTAGTGCTCCATGCCTGTTTGTAGATGAAACGGTATTTCCACCAAAAACGGGCAATCTACTTAGGTTGTAGAAGGCTGCATTATTCATGGTAATCATGGCAGGTCTTTCTACACCAGACTTTAGATGAGAACTTGAGCCAACGGCATCTGAAAAAAAAAGTAAGCATCAACTAGCTGCTTAAGATATAGTTGAGTTATTCACGTAAGAAGATAACTGCAGATCAGGCAAGATTCAGAGCTATTCTTTTACCCCCGAGACCAATTTAAGTATACGAAATAACTACTCAAATTGTGCAAGATGAATCAGCAATGGCAATTGAGTCACGAAAACATGAACTTGTTGATTTGATTCTTCCACTCCAGACTGACGATTAGAAATGTGAATAAACGGCTAAAGGTAACAATAGCACAACACATTTGACTGAGGCCAAGCTATCAAAATCAGTTAGACACCTATTCTTCCAATCTTTAGAACCATTTAAACGACCCATGATTAACATTTTCAATTTTATTCCCTTGAATCTCTACGCAGCTGAGCTCACAATAAAGAAAATGAATCAAATCTAAATCACAACAACGATAAATTCAAAACATCCTTCATACAATTTATTTTCAGAATTAAATTTCGTGTGTGAAAAATTAGAAATGTACGAACAACATATTCCAAAAAAAAAATCGTAAAATACAAGCTAATAATCTTCAGCTCAAAACGCAGTAACTACACAACTTCAGATTAAAGTAGCTACACAAATCACTAGGTTGCCACACATACATACACCAAACGCATCAGAAATCTGAACACACAATTTCGTGCGAACATTTTACGGAGAGGGAAAGGAGGAGGGGAGGGGAAGCACTTACATTGGAAAGAGCGGAGAACGGCGGCAGACTCCATGGCGATCAGATACCGATAAAAACGATGAGATCCAACAGAATTAAGAGTTTAGAGAGAGGAATTTCTCGATTTGCAGCTGCGAAAGAAGATAAATGAGAACGGATGTGAGTAGTTGAGGGTGGGGTGGGGGTACGGGTGGGGGCGAGTTAGAGTGAGTTTGCTAGTTGCTACGTGTTTGTTATGTAGTTTGTTTCTACCTAGAAATGTTCGCCCCTCTCTTCAGTTTCTTCACCCACCACCTGCCTCCTGTATTTTTCTATGCTCTTTTGCTAACATGCGCACGCCTCCCTTCTGGCACTTATCCTACGCCTTCAATCCACTTTGTATTAATGTAATAGATTATCATTATTTCACCCGTGGACAATTTAAAAATTATAAAATACGTGTTGTAGATAATATAATTGAACGGAAACTTTGGATAGATGATACTGTATAATCCAATTTTTTTTTAAATTATGTATATTCCTTTTGATTAATTAGCGAATTAAACAAAATAAATGATAAAAGAACATTTAAAATACGCAAAATAATATACATCATTTGATTCAAATGATATAACTATCTAGTCTAATGTTTTTGGACACGGAAATTATTTATCAAAGTACTCATCTAATACGTTGCGAATAATCTGCATTTTTATTATTGTTAATATGCTATCAGTGGTACACATTACTGAAACGTAAATCAATTAACAGTACAGTGAAATAAACAAACACAATTTATATTAGTTATCTTGATAGACAAAAACTTCATTGAATTCGTCGGTAAGATTAACGTGAAGTGTAAGTAAAACACTGCAAATCATAATCTCAATGCTAATGCTAATGCAATTGTTTTTTTATTTCTTTTCATTTTTTTAAATTTAGTTAATTTCATAATATCTGTAATTAGATCAAAATGTATTGCATTTACAAAAGTATGATTTTCATTGTTGATGCGGTCAAGACTCGGTCTTCTTAGTCCACATCGATTTAATCTCTAGATTGATATTCCTTGAAATTGCACATGGATCGCTATTTTTGTTGCAAAAGGAACATAAACTTGAGAGTGTATTAGAGAAATTATGATGTCTACATTTAATTATATAATTTCATTCTTGATTTTATATATAAAATTTAAATTATTATATACGATACAAAAAGAAAAGGATATCATTTTATCAAAATAATAATATATGGGCCCCAATTGTTTTTTCTTTCGTCAAGGCCCGTACAAGAATGGGCCGGGCTTGTCTATGTTCGGTGATCCGCTCGATGCTGGGTTCGATTTGAAAATAATGTTAAAGCCCGTTTCAAAATTTAAATCGGAAAAAAATAAAGTTTTTTTTTTTTTTTTTAACCACTAATAGAAGGATTTAATCAGCCATATCTTTAATTAACTTTTTCATTTTAAGGAAATTTTTAATCGACCTCCATCAATTTCTTTTGTCTTCATTCTGTTCACACTACAGAGACGTTAGGGGCAGTTCGGACATTTCTTCTCAGGCTCTGTTGGCGCACTCTAAATTTACTCAAAAAAAATTGCCGATTGGAGGCCGTTCGGCTGAAATCGCATTCTCCGGTAAGCTTTCGGTGAAAATTTTGGATTCAATGGCGGAGAACTAATTTGAAAACTATTGTAGTTTTAGTATCTGATTTTACTTGCTATTGCTTTTTACTGTTTCGTGTGAGCGGGGTGGAGGCCGCGTTCGGTCGGAGTTGTTGTTGTTGTTGTTGTTTCCCCCTCCCTTTCGTTTGAGTAATTTTTTGTTGGATCATGTTGAGAAAATGCACAGAAAATACTCACGAGTGTGTGGAAGTTAAGGATTTTTAATTTTTTTTTTAATTTTTTGCATTTATTTGACGGATCATGTGACACTATCTAATCAGGCAATTTTGATGCAATTGTGTAAAATTTTAACGCACGTTCGTCATCGTCAAACTTCTTTGGCTGTCGAAAATAATTTGTGGTTTACCGTTCATCGATAGTTTGAGATTTATGGTTTTGATGTTTGCTTGATGTTAACTCTGATGAAATTAGGTCTGGTAGTGCACAATAACTATATTATATTGTATCCTTTGAAGATGATTCGTGGATTGTTTGTTTAGTTTTTTTTGTGACTATTTGGAAATTGATATGTTGGCCTTTACTTTATTGTAAAATAGCTTCAAAGATTGGCTCAATTATGCGGAGTTCTGTTTTTAGAATCGCACTCATTCCCATTTCATATCTTCCTATAACCCCCGAATGTCGAAAGCTTCATATTTCGATTTCGAAGCCTAAATTTGGTTCTGCTCTTCTGTGATTGATTGACATTTCATCGTTATATATTTGCTAGTGGTGTTCTTCAATTAGAAAGTAGCACTGTTAGATATCTTTGAAGTTGTATTATTTGTCCCACGAATGATTTATGTTGTTTTCTTGTCCTTTCTTCCACGCGTAAAGATTTTTTTTCCGAATACGCATGCCATCTTGTTCAAAAATGTTTCGTGATTTGTTCAATATCTCAGTTGTAAGATATATTTATAACTATAGTAATTTTGCTCATATCTTGTAATTGTAGATGGGGCGTGGCAAAAAAACTAAAAGTCTTCCATTGAAGGAAAAATCTAAAGTCTCGTGCACAGTGAACTCGAGCACAACCGCTCGAAATTTGACCAAGAAAGAGCTCGGGGCAGTAATTTTTGGATGCAAAAACCACACATTCACTGAATGCGTAAAGAAGATGTTGTTTGGTACTGTTTCTATTAGGCATAATTGTTTATACCATAGCTTTAGGTTTTTTTTTTTTTTTTTTTGAGTAAATTCAAGTCCATTACAAGGGAAAGTAGGGGAGGGGGGGACTCGAACCCTAGACCGTTACCCTATTGGTAAAGGCTAGGTACCAACTCTCCTAATGAGGGTTGGTACCATAACTTTAGGTTAATGTGTCTATTATGAAACTATTAACTTGTAATATTTTCTTGACAAATTCTCGAGCAGGATTGCCAGCTGGACATTCTTCGTATGTAAAGAACATCAGCCCTGGCCTTACTCTGTTTCTTTTTAACTATAGTGATCGGAAACTTCATGGTATCTTCGAGGCAACATCTTGTGGGAAGATGAATATTGATCCTCGTGCATGGATTACTAATGAGGGTTCTGAGTATACACCATATGCTGCACAGGCAAGCAACATATTAGATTCTCATAATTCGTTATCAGTTCAAGTAGTCATTATTTTAATGAAGTAAATAGTGACTTGCAAAATATTCTTCTCTTTCAGGTACAAGTAGCCGTTAGGAGGCAATGCCAGCCTTTGCATGAAGAAGAGTTCAAACCCATAATAGCGAAAAATTACTACTCAGAGGGGCATTTCTGGTTTGAGCTTGACCGAGAACAAACTAGAAGATTGACCGAATTGTTCTCATCATCAAAGTTACCGGAAAAGCAGCTGCCTCGTTTAAAAGAACAGTTCAAGAACATTGACTCGAAAGAATATTCTGGAAGGGCTGAGACGAGTTTAAAAGAGAACGAGCATTCATATCCAATTATCTCTAATAGAGGTGATTTTGCTCCAGATAAGAAGTGGGCCGACCTGTTCAAGGCTTCGTCATCTTCATCTTCAGTGGAGCACGGTGATATTTTGGCATCTGAAGAAGGAATATTAAATGCATCAGTTTCGTATCACTGTGATATGGATTCAAAGGTTACCTCATCTTCTCAAGAATTGATCGAACCACTTCCAGGTACTGTCGCGGAATATTGGGAAGAGCATGCTACTGAAGAAATGTATGAAAATAAGTCGATAAATTTGCTAGATTCTGAACAAGAATATGACTCGACAGATGTTCCATCTTCAGACAACTCAAGTTTTCTAGACAGAGAGGGTGGTGAGTTGAAGTCCTTGGAATTCAAGTCTACAGTAGCTACAGTGCCTGGACAAGTTTTACTTGGTACGAAACAAAAAACAAGTTCTGGAAATTTTCTGCCACAAGCAGAAACTTGTGAGAGAGACCATAATCAGCCTAACTTGATGGGCAGGCCCTTTCTAGGGTCTTCTGTTTTTGATTCTGTGATCACTAAGGTACCTTGATCTCACCGTTAAATCAAGAAATTCCTATTATTTGCAGAAATATATTTCCAGCATTCTTTCTTTTATTTACCCCTTTTTTTCTTTTTTTGTTTTTTTGGCATGTTTGTGAAGCTAACACAAGAACTTGAAGAGCTGAGGTACTCCCAGTTGAAACAAATGCAACAAATCGATTATCTGCAGCAACAGTTGGTATGGTTTCTTTCCCTGCTGTGTAAGACCTTCCGTAGTATAGTATTCCCTGAATTTGCATTCTGATTTAACCACTTCTCACAACTTGTTGCAAGAACTATCGATTTTGTGAGAAAAAACAGCCAGTCGATGCATATATGAAATTTGTTAGTTGTTAATAGAAGTTCAAGTTCCATAATTGGGTGCATGAAAGTTTTATCAAATCAGTGATTTGCATAGAGATTACTCAAATGTATTTCTGATTTGACCACTTCTCACAACATGTTCAGATTTCTACACATTTTCGTTGATCGGGTCCTTTTATTCATATGTTTAATTTCGTTGGCTCAGATTAGTGTTAAGTATAAAAGCGTTGAGAAGAATGCCATGGTTAGTGAAAGTTGACCCTAAGGTTTTTAGTCATCTCGTAATTGTGCTTTTTCTCGCTTCCTATTGTTGTATGGACGTTGTAGTGAGTTAGTTAAACTTTGAATTCAATTCCTATCACAGATCCATTCCGAACTTGAAATCGACGAACTGAAAAGGCGGTTGCATAAATTGGAATATGGGCGACGATCCTCTGCCAACGGTCGTCACCCTATGCTTTAGAAGACTGTCCTAATATCACATTTTGCCCAATGAATTGTTCAAGGTCATACGTAATACACTTCTCTCTTACACTTCTCTCTTGCGAAAAATACTAGGCCTAACCAGTAATCATGGTAAACTCGAGATGTGACTTGTGAGTGAGCATCGACGGTTATTTCTATGCTACACCCGGTGAAAGTTACATCGGGTGAATTTTTACCGTTAATCTACACACTTAGGTGTGGGTGTATGAATGGTAAATATCTCTCCAGTGTAGAATAGTATATGGGTGCGTGTGTGTTTGTATGTATAATGTATATAAATGGTAACGATCTACTCAATATATTTCACTTGGTGTAGCATAGTATAAACCAATTTGAACACTCATCAAAAAAAAAAAAAAAAAACCAATTTGAACTAGCTGCTTTAAGTATAGTTGATCACCCTATTCACTATTAAGGATAACTGCAGTTTACTCCCACTATCACGCGTGATTGACTAGACACGTATAATTAGTAATAAAGTGATAGAAGTGTAATATTTAAGAGGTTTGTACATTTTTATCCTCTTTTACTTGTATCAAATAAATTACATATAAGTGACGTTTATAACAAAGTAATCCCCAAAATACAAATGTCGAAAATAAAATCATTTTTTACGAAATCCAATTATACAAATGTGACTATATTTGAATAATATATATTTTTTGTAGCTCATTTTACTATGTAAATGTAGAATATAATTGCAACAAGGCTCCTCCATAGATAGAACTCAACACAAATAAAGTAAATAATTCCACTGGTAATTAATAATTTCAAATTTCAACCAAATTTCCAAAAAAAGGAAATTTGTGTGAACACGTCGTCCCAAAAAATGTCATAAAAGATTTTACTATTTTCCGATAATAGTAAACTTTATTAGGCTATTTCTTTTTCTTTTTCTTTTACTTTTAATTTTTTTTAATTTTGAATTTTTAATCTTCAGAAATTTTATTACTCCTCCATCAATTATTTTGTCCTTTCACCTCACATTACTGAGAACATTAGGGGCAGTTCTGACATTTTCTTTCACACCATCACCTTTTTCAGGCTCTGTATTGGCGCAAATATTCTGCAACATTTCTACACAGCTTCACTCCCACCATTAATCTCCAATTTTCGTCCTTTGGAAATATCAAACGTCCATAATTTGTGCAGGCCTATCACATTTACTTCTTATCTTCAAGCGTTCCTCTTCTGTGCTTGTGGTACTTTTTTTTTTGTTGTTCTTCTCAGAAACGTTGTCGTTTGGACGCCATTCGCCTGAAATCTCAGGTATTTTTTAGGTATTTGTTTAGGATTTAATGGCGGATAAGTAATTTTAATTTCCTTTGCCACCGTTTTACTGTTTCGTTGTTTGACGGGGAATCGGAGCTTTTTTTTTTAAATTTTTTTTAAATATATATATTTTTACCTTTCCTTATTTGGTGCAGTACTGTGTTTTTTGTTGTTGTACCGGTGAAGGAATGCATGTTCAGTTGGAGTTAGGGTTAGCATTTTCTTCAGGGGCTACTGATTGTGCTAAATTGTGTTTACAAATTTGAAATTGTGAGAGGAAGGGTTGAATCGTAAATGCTATTAAGATTGTGCGGGTTTTTTTATGTGTGAAAATCAAAGTTCCTTTTACTTTTATGCACTTATTTCATGGATCATGTGACTTCTTTTTAGTTGATTTTTTTTTAATCAGGTTATTTTGCTGCAATTATTTTACAATTTCAAAGTATTTTCTAACATATTTAGTCAAACTTGAAATTTGTTGTTTATGTATAATTTGAGATGAGATTGGGTCTTGTAATTCCACAATGTTTATCTTGTGTGTTTTGAAGACGATGCTTGGATGACTTAGTTAAAATTTTGTGACATTTTTGGAATTTGGAAATTGATCTGTTCACTTTTTCCGATAACGAGGAAGAATTTGCAGAATTAGAGGTGTTAGTGATGTGGAGACCATAAAACTTTTCCGACTAAACATGCCATCTTGCTCAAAGTGTTGCGTGATTTCATTATGTATCTTAATTGTAAGATCCATGAGAAACTGTAGTAATTTTTTGTTTTTCTCACATCAGCTGTAATTGAAGATGAAGAAGACTGGGAAAAAAACTGGCAATCTTCCATTGAAGGAAAAATCAGAAGCCGCATGGACAGTTAACTCGATCCCAACTAATCGAAATTTAACCAAAAAAGACCTTGGGGCTGTCATTTTCGGATGCAAGAATCATACAATCAACGAGTGCTTAAAGAAGATGATGTTCGGTAATCTTTCTGTTTAGGCATGCATGTTTATACTATAACTTTAGGTTAATATATATCCATTGAAATTGTTTGAATTGTAAAATTTTCTTAATTCTTGAGCAGGATTGCCGGCCGCACATTTTCCGTACGTGAAGAACGTTAGCCCCGGCCTTACTCTGTTTCTTTTTAACTTTAGTGATCGGACGCTTCATGGTATCTTCGAGGCAACATCCTGTGGGAAGATGAACATTAATCCTCATGCATGGATTACTAGTGAGGGTTCTGAGTATACACCATATGCCGCACAGGCAAGTATCTTTCCCTGAAATTCCATCCCGTAATTGTTTCGTGCATGAAATAATTATATTCACTTGCAGAATGTTCTTCTCTTTCAGGTACAAGTTGGTATTAGGAAGAAATGCCGGCCTTTGTTTGAAGAAGAGTTCAAACCACTAATAGCAAAGAATTACTACTCAGATAGGCTTTTTTGGTTTGAACTTGACATAGAACAAACTAGAAAATTGACCAAATTATTCTCATCACCAGAGTTGCCGAAAAAGATGCCGCCTCGTCCGCCGAATGCAGCTAGGTCGAGCAACGCATTCAATGTTCTGTCGGGCTCTAATGTAGATGAAGCTGCAGACAAGGAGACTGAAAATAATGACTCGAAAGAGTATTCTGGAATGGAGGAGATGAATTTAAAGGAAAATCAGCATTCATATGCAACAATTGTCTCTAATAGAGATGCTTTTGCTCCGGAGAAGAAGTGGACTGAGTTGTTCAAGGCTTCCTCATCTTCATCTTTAGAGAAGAAAAGTGATGTTTTGGTATCTTCATCTTTAATGAGCAAACCGCCTCCCGAACCTTGTCCAGATACCGTCGTGGAATGCTGGGAAGAGCATGCTATTTTCGACAATGATGCTAAAGAAATGTACGAAAATATGGTGACACAGTTGCTATATCCTGAACAAGAATCTGAGTTGACAGAAAGTTGTGAGAGAGACCCTAATCAGCCAAACTCGATGGATACACCCTATCCGGAGAACATCAATTCTGCATATGGAGAGGTGGTTACGGATACAGAGTCTTCTGTTTCCGAGTCTGTGATCATTAAGGTAACTTGAGCTAACTCTCAAAATTAAGAAATTCGTATTATTTGCAGAAATATATTTCCAGCTGTCTTTCTTTTATTGACCCCCTTCCTCTTATTTTTTTGACACGTCTTATGAAGTTAACACAAGAACTTGAAGAGTTGAAGGTCTCCCAGTTGAAACAGACACTAAAAATTGATTCTCTGCAGCATCAGTTGGTATGGTTTCTTTCCTTGTTGTGTAAGGTCTTCCTTAGTGAAATTAAAATTTCTTAATTATATGCTTCCTTGGTAGTACTTATATCATTGTGATTTAAACACTGCTTTTAAGTTTGTTGGAAGAACTATGGGACTTTAATTTGTGAGAACAAAGCAGCGGTCAATGCATATGTGAAACTTGTTAGTATTCATAGAAGTTCAAGTCCATAATTGGGTGCATGAAGGTTTTATCAGATCAGTGATTTGCATCGAGTGTACTTCGTAGTATGATTATTCCATTTTCTTGATCTTCGTAGTTTGATTATTCATCTACAGTAACATGTTCAGATTTTTACACGTTTTCGTTGCTCAGTCCGTTTGTTCATATGTTTTAGTGATTCTCCAACTCCATTCTTAACTGGTATTTTGTATTATATTGTTATTACTGATGTACTCTTAGCCATTTTGACCAAAATTGTTTTGCATGAATTGCCAACGTTTGAGTTTCAAAAGCTTCTAATAGTTTGTTATCATTTTTTTATTCTTCTTTTCCCTTACAATGCAAATTAAACCTGATCTTGAGAAGAATGTCATGCTTGATGAAAGTTGACCGAAATGTTTTACTCTTTTAGTCATCTTGTAAATGTGCTTTTCACGCTTACTATTGTTTTATCGATGTTCTAGTGGATTAAACCTTAAATTCAATGCCGACACAGGTTTACTCCAAACTGGAAATCGACCAATTGAAAAGGCGGTGCCATAAATTGGAATTTGTGCCATCCTCTGCCATTGATTACTATGCTTTAGAGTTCTGTCAACCCCCTAATATCACAGCTCAGGAATCTGTATTAATTGTTGGAGGGTTTGATGGAGACTCGTGGCTTCCAGATTTGAGTTTGTATTCTCCACCCGAGGACCATGAAATATCACTCTGTCCAATGACTTGTTCAAGATCATATGCCTCTGTAGCTAAGTTGAATGGCGATCTTTACATTTTTGGCGGCGTCGATGATGGTATATGGTATGACACAGGTATAATTTTCATTAACTCTGTTTTTGTGTCTTTTGAATATATCTTTCTGGTAAATCAAGTTAATAAATCTACTTTGCTGGTAGTTGAATCGTACAATCCCATGTGTAATAAGTGGGTCCAGCGGCCCTCTTTAAATAAGAAAAAGGGAAGTCTGGCTGGAGCATCCTTGTACGAGAAAATTTATGCAATAGGTGGGGGGAATGGAGTTGAATGTTTCTCGGAGGTGGAACTACTTGATCTAAACATTGGAAGTTGGATTCCCGCACAATCCATGCTTGAAAAGGTATGTCAACTTTTTTTTTTTTTTTTTTTTTTTTTTATAATTTATATCGTCGTCAATTTATATTATGCAACATTTGCCCTAGATGAGTATCAATGTATATGCGTAATAGTTTCGTCTTGGAGTTGAACTTTTTAAGTTGTGATGAAGTTTATGAATTGGACCTAAAAGGAACGGTGCTTGATTTTGTCCAGAAGAACGCATTGCATTGGGTTAATTTCTTTAAGAACTGTTAGATTCATAAATATATGAACTGAAAAGCTTCAAAAGAAACTTGACTAAATTGTATACTGGTGAAAGAATGAACGTGCCATTTAACATAAAGTTGATCATAAGGACAGTTACTTGAGCAGTTATTATCGACTCTAGTGTTACTAATGGCACCCCGTGCTTCACTGCAACACACTTGGTTCTTATTATCGATTTGATGGTCTTTATAAACTTTTTATCGATTCTTGTGGACATTCAGACATTCTATTAAGTTCTTTCATTACTTTTAACGAACTAAAGCCGAAGAATTCTCAGCTTGTTTTGTTTCTGCAGCGTTTTTCTCATGCAACAGCAGATATTAACGGTGCACTCTATGTTGCTGGCGGCTATAATGGAAGAGATTACTTGAGGTAGGATAATTATATATATACTATATTTCCTTTCACTGTTTGCCACTTTTATACATCATTACTCGTCTCGTACATTTATAGGTTTCTCCACATATACGGACTTTTACAAAAGCTCTTTTCTCTCGTTAACTCTGTTTTCAATTTCATGCAGATCTGTCGAAAGATTCGATCCTAGAGAACATGCATGGACAAGGCTCGGTAGTATGAACGTAAAGAGGGGATGCCATTCCTTGGTTGCCTTTAAAGAAAGATTGTAAGTCACTTTTCTAGTTAAGCTAAGAAATGAATGATTATTATTCTCAATTAAATAATACTTTTTGAGTTGTACGATTTTTGTACGCAGATATGCATTAGGTGGTTATAATGGAGATACGATGGTGTCTACTGTTGATGTTCTTGATCCACGTTTCGGTTCGTGGTTATTGGCTGAACCCATGAAAGTTTCCAGGGGTTATTTTGGCTCGTTCGTCTTTGGTGGAAAAATACACGTAATCGGTGGATTGGAGGGTACAGAAGTTTTGGATGTGGTAAGTGCTTCATTCAAATTGTATATAGTGAAAAAAATTATTTTATATATTTAACATACATATATGATATTATTTTGTCTTTTTTTTTTTTTTTTCCGGTGATAATTTTTGTGTTGTCATCGCACCAGACTGAATGCTACGATGAAGGTTCCGGATGGCAGGTGGGAGGAAGGACAGCCATTGGTAAAAGATCCTACTTTTCTACTCTTGTTTTGTGAAAAGAAATTGATAATTAATTTCTGTAAATGCTACTTATTTCTCGAGTATTTCCACGCCTCTTGAAACGAACTAGCAACTTTGGGATGGCTTGATTTGGCAGATGGTCTCTAGGTTTAATCGATCTGTGAATTTTTTTTTTGAAAATTTACCGAAAATGGCGATCTGTAATGGTTAAATTCTTCAAGAAATTCAGAAATGTTTTTCCTTTTCTTTTCAAGAACAGTTTGAGTTAGGAAGTTAAGTGATAAACATGATCACGATCGAGATATTATCATGGACGTTTGCTTTTCCGAAACGAAACGGAAAAAAAAATCATATTTAAATATTTTCCAACTCGTAGCTCTTTTATGCTGCATATAAGTTTGTGTATGACAAAAGAAAGTTAAAAAAAAAATCCGATTTGTTAAAATAACGAACTAAGCTTGAATGTATATTATTTTTATTCGATAAGCTACCCGACGCTTTCAAGATCTCCTATATATATATATGTGTGTGTGTGTGTGTGTAAGATATGATTCTGCTAGGGATGGCAATTTGACCCGCCCCGACGGATCCCCGCCTCGCCCCGCCCCGAAATTTTTGGGTATTACCCGCCCCGAAAAAAAATGGGGCGGGTATGGGGATTGAAATTCTTTTTTGACCGGGTACGGGTACGGGGATGGGTTTGCCTATACCCGCCCCGTAGACCCGCCCCGTACCCGTCCGGCCGTCCCCATACCCGCCCCGCATTATTTATATATATAATATATATTTTTTTAATTATTATATTAAATATAAATAATTAAATAGTAGTAATATATTAAATATTAGTTAAAAATGGAATTTTTAGGTTTCCATTATATAATTAAATATTATTATAATTAAATATTATTATAATTAAATATTGATTTATTTGTTGAAATAAATATTTAAATTATAAGTAAATTGCATATTTATTTATTAAAAAAAAAAAGAAAAATAAAATAGACGAGGATTTTTACCCGCCCCGATACCCGTGGGGATTTTATGGGGCGGGTATGGGGATTCTTTTAATACCCGTGGGGATTTTTGACGGGGATGGGGATGGGGATTTCCATAGCGGGGCGGGGATGGGGATTGCAAAACCCGCCCCATACCCGCCCCATTGCCATCCCTAGATTCTGCACTTTGACTTGTTGATGTGAAGAAATGAAATATCATTTCTAGTAAGTGCAATGTATTTGTGATTTATACACATGCATTCTAGAAACATTGGAGTTTCTAAGTTTTCTCTTGCTCTATATATGTAGTTAGGCAGAATATAAATAAATAGGAATAATTTGGAGAACCATAGGCGTAGTATAGCATAGCATAGCATAAAGCGTGTTTTACTTTTGAAGAAGATTTGGACTAAAATTGAAATCAATTAAATTAATAACTGATATGAACGAATGAGAATATATATCATCCCAAAATGTAGACATTTCTGAGGATATATTCCATCACCTTTTTCTAATTTTATGTAAAATAGACAATAAAACAACATTCTGAATCGTGATAATGAAACAACGTATGGGTATAAGTTAAATGATTCTGAAATAAGTTGGTGCAATGTCCTAAGATCGAGTACTGGTAGCAGCAGTATGAGAATTTCGACTTCAATACAAATTTTGGTTTCTTGTGGGCAGCAATCCCGATGGGAGCCGTAGGGGCAAGAAATTTCGTCTTTTTGATGCGAGACAACGACACAACAAATTTAAAGGTTGTTTCTATATACAAGTCATGGGTTGGAGCTTCACATCCCATCAACTATAAACTCACATTAGCTCCATCATTACATTAGCAAATCATCATTTAATTTATTCTTGAGCCACACATTATTATTAATAATAATGATAATAATTTTGATTAAAAAGTGTTTTTATAAGGGGATAAACACATGATTTGATGGTAATGGTCCTATAGCTATTAGCTAATAGATGTGGATTCTACACAAGAAATCACAACCCCACACGGTTACTCTATATGCATGCACATATCTTTGCTTCTCAATTTACCCAACTCCATATTCACAACTTTATTTATTCCTCCATTTTTTTAGCTTTACAACTCACACTCGAAAAACAAATCCGAATTTCCGACCTCTCACCAAATACCACTGTAAGGACGCGACAACACCACTTCGGCGGCTAATCTTCGGTGATTTTTCGATCGACCCTATTGCCTTTTAGAATATTTCTTTTTTATATCTCTATATAAAGAATCCCTTTGCACCAAATTTTCACACCAAGAAAATCGAAAAAAAAAAAACGATGGCTTCTTCTTCTTCTTCGTCTTCTTTTCCGGATGTGTTTTCTTGGATTGAAAAGCTTCCACCGATTATTCAATGGAAATCCGAAGATTCAAATAATTATTCCATAAATCTATGCCCTTTATCTTCTTCATCTCAGCCTTCACTCAAACTCTCCATAAACAACTTCAACGCTTCCTATTCCACTCTCTCGATTTTCGCAGATTACAATCTCCCAATCTCACTTTGGACATCCAAGAAAATTTTACCAAAGTCCAAGAAAATACTCGACAATAACAACGAAGACGATTCCACTCCAATCCTCGTATCCAATTTCATCGAAGATGTCCTAAAGTACTGCTCGAACAAATGCCCGTCTTCTCCAAAACTCCCGAGAACCGCGTATTCCGAAAACGCCCTCAAAAGGGACATCTTCAACTTCTCTCTCCTCACCCTAACTTTCGTCGTGTGCGTATACGAAGCTCCAACCGATTTACGAGCTTCTTGCCTCGAAATACTTAAAAACGAGCTCGCATGCGCGAAATCCAGAGAGGTCTCCAAGGTTTTGATGAGGCTTATGGGCTCGAATACCGAAGAGCAATGGATGCGTTCGATGAATCTTGCGATCACTAATTGGTACTCGGAAATTGATCCCACGACAAATAATAATAATCCCGCGGTACTCAAAACTCCCTCGTCTTTGTTTTCTTACTCGCGTTCGACACTCGGGCTTTGGAAAGTACAGCTGTACTGCCCTGTGATTGCTATGGATGTTGAGAAATCGAGCGGCCCTTCGCCGGACGATCGTTTGATCTTCTCTCTCAACTATCACCAGCTTGAGGGTGTGATTCAGCTCAACTATAGGGTTTCTGTTCAAGAAAAGTGGATCCAAGTTATGGTTAACACAGATAACATAAGGTAAAAAATACACACACACACACACACACACACTTACATGAAAGCAGTATTTAGGGTGAAAAGTATGATGCAATGAAACGGAATCGACTGTTTCGGAATATTTACAATTTTTTTCCGGAAATACAAAACTACGTTTGGATTTATTATTCGAAAATTCGACAAATGTTTTCAATTATTCCAATTCAAGAATATTTTGAAATTTCGGCAATCGAAATAAATATATAATAAATAAGTGTTCCGAAATTAGTATAGTCCATACATGGGAGGAAATTAGAAATTTCATTCCCACTTTCACCCTTAGCAGTACGGAAATATATATATATATAATACAGTCGGGACTAGGAAAATTCTATTAATTTAGCGAATTATTAAATTATCGAGTGAGTTAGTAATTTAATATATTTTCACCAAGTGGAGACGGAAAGAAACTATTATTTAAACTAGGTTATTAAGTTTATTAAATAATCGAGGTTCTACGTACTGTATATATATAATAGGTGTGATGTAGTGAAGCTGCTGACAGAAAAACTTATGAAAGAGCGTGGCACCGGAGCATCGGAGAAGCACTTCCCGTCACGAATAGCTCTGCAGATAACTCCGACGACCCTCCAATCCAACGTGATAAGCATCTCCGTCAGCAAATCATCGGAGAATCAGCCGAGAGAGATCGGCGTGGAGAAAGGGATCGAGGCGTCGTTCGAGCCGCCGACGGCGATAGGGCTCCACTTCTCCGCCGGAGAGACGGTGACGACGAGCCTGAAACCGTGGAAGTTCGAGCAGTCGGTGTACGGGAGCACGGCGAACCTGAACTGGTTCCTCCACGACAGCGGCGACGGGAGGGAGGTGTTCTCGTCGAAGCCGTCGAAGTTCGCGCTGCTGCAGCCGAAGGCGTGGTTCAAGAACCGGTACTCGAGCGCAAACCGGCCGTTCACGCGGCAGGGTGGGGTGGTGTTCGCCGGAGACGAGTACGGCGAGAGCGTGAGCTGGAAGGTTGATAGAGGGTGCATGGGGAGGTGTATGGAGTGGGAGGTCAACGGCTGGATTTGGTTGACTTATTGGCCTAATAAACATCGCACTTTTTACACTGAGACTAGAAAATTTCAGTTCAAAGAAATTGTCACTCTTACCCTGGGTTAGCACTTAGCATATCACACCCACTTAATTAGGGTTTTTATTTATTTATTTATTATTATTATTGAAATTTCAGTTTAAATGGAAATGCATTGAATTATAAGAAGCATTTGAAAATTGCAGTACCCCATTAATGCATTTTTCTATTTCAAGTGAAATTTAAGATTGGCACGTGAAATTGATTCACATAATTTGAATTTTCTATTTTACTTTAATCTATATCTGAATGTAAATTAAGAGTATTTATTATTAGTAATGAACAAATACGTGTGCTATCCTCAAATCTTGCATGACCAATAATATAGGTACACCTTGGTTACGTAGTGATGAGGTGAGTTCGACACTTGTGGGACAAACACCCCATACTCGAGATTAGTGGGCTGAAACCCGAACAAAAGATAAAAGTTAAGCCCGCAATGAAGGTGACACATATACTTTACGGCCCAATTTTTGGCGAGTAGGATGAATCGAGATAAACTAAGGAGTTCGATAAAGAAAGAGAGCGCAAAGGTAGTGAGGTCAAATAGCTCGCACAATTGAGCTTTTTGGGCGGACGAGTGAGCAGTATTTGAAAAGAGGTCTTGAGGGTGCATTTTTTGGGCCATCACGTAAATTGTATTAATTTATATTAGATTGGATTCAATTAATTTTTATTTTATAATTAATAATTAATTAGTTGGTAAATTATTGGATCACTTAGATGTAGTATAATAGGAATTGTTAAAAAATAGTGATAGACTAATGATAATTATTAGATAATATCATTTAATTAAGGGCTTAAGTTTGTTCAAGAGAACATAATGGGCCTGGCAAACTGTAAATCCAAATTCAAAAACCTAATTTTGAGAAGCAGAGTCCACGTCATCGATCCCAGTGTATCTAAATGGTCATTACTCTATTTGATATCCTGCGGCTGAAAAACAATCTTACCAAATGACCCGGATCGTGATCCAAGCCGTTCATTAACCCCAAAAAATTTCAAAAAGTTTCCGCCATTACTATACGCCCCAAAAATTTCAAATAATTCAGCTTCTCAGATTTTACCTCTCTATATTAACCCATCAAATCTCTTCCCCATTCTCATCAATCACAAAAAACAATAACAACTGCTTCATAATTTCTTCGCATCGTTTTCTACTACTTCCTTCGCTGAAAAAATGTCTGGCCGTGGCAAGGGAGGCAAGGGGCTGGGCAAGGGCGGAGCAAAACGACACCGTAAGGTGCTCCGTGACAACATCCAGGGCATCACGAAGCCGGCGATCCGGCGTCTGGCGAGGAGAGGCGGAGTGAAGAGAATCAGCGGCCTGATTTACGAGGAGACCAGAGGTGTTCTGAAGATATTTTTGGAGAACGTTATCAGAGACGCCGTCACCTACACCGAGCACGCCAGGAGGAAGACCGTCACCGCCATGGATGTTGTCTATGCTCTCAAGAGGCAGGGCCGTACTCTGTACGGCTTCGGCGGTTGATTTTTTCCCCTTCTCTTAGTTTTTTTTTTTATGCTGAAATTGTCTGTAGTTCCTGGATCTGGCAATTATTATTGTGTAATTGAAATATTGAATGATGGATTTTCGATTTTTCTATGGCAATTACTTTTGGATCTCGTTGATGAAACTATATAAAATTGAGATGATTTTGGAGGATTTATTTCATGGAGATTTTGTTTGCATTTGTGCTGTTCGATGAATTGAACTGGTGAATAGTTGATAATTTAATTTTCGGAAAAAGAAAAAAAATTACAGAGGAAAATTGAAAGGTACAACACGCGCAATACGCTAATGCATAATGAGTTGTACCTTGACACAGTGATGGCTGTTTATTGCTATCCACATGTTTGCTGATGCCACATATTTTCCACGTCAGCAAATTTTCGAAAAATAATAAAATCTTTCTTCGCCGTTGGATCTCGCCGTTGACGGAATTAATGTTAAAAAAATGCGTTCAGCTCACTGGTAGAGAGAGAAAAAAAATGGAGCCCCAGATTTTGACGGTTAAACCCCAGGGATTCTATTTAATTCCCAATACTTACAAAAATTGCATCACTCGCCGACGCCACGTCAGTGTTCCTCGTTGTTGCCGTCGCCTTCCCGAACATTCCGGCGAAGCACGTGCGCCGAAACGTCGAGATGTCTTAATTACCCCGCTCCTCGCCCTCGGAGCTTATGCACTCCGTACCGCGGTGGCGAAGGCCGACGACAAGCCGGCTTTGGAAGGCGGAGCGCAGATTCCACAGCCATCGCAGCAGGGGGCAGTTGGCTCGCAGGAGGAGGCCGCCGCGGATCCGGCGGCGAAGGAGGAAGTGATTAATTCGAGGATTTACGACGCGACGGTGATTGGAGAGCCGATGGCGTTGGGCAAAGACAAGAGCAAGGTGTGGGAGAAGATGCTGGATGCGCGGGTCGTGTATTTAGCGGAGGCGGAGCAGGTTCCAGTTCCCGACGATAAAGAGTTGGAGCTTGAAATTGTGAAAAAGCTGAACAAGAGATGCGTGGAATCCGATCGGCCTATTGCTTTGGCCTTGGAAGCTTTTCCCTGCAACTTACAGGAACAGCTCAATCAGTACATGGATAAAAGGTTTGATTATTTTCTCACTCAATCAGTTCATTAAACTCTTTATAATTGCTACTGAAATAGAGTATTTACTTTGATTCAGTAGCTTTCTTAATTTATATTTTCATTGATATGCTAAATCATTATCGAACTTGAATGATTTACTCTGTGATATTTCGAGGCATAGAAGTGTTTATATGTTCTATTGTAACAGATATGATACACGATTTTGCTTTGTTATTATCTCCCCTTTATGCTGGTGATGGATCTCATAGTCTCCACTGAGTCCCTTTAATATTTGTAACATTGTCGAATCTTGTCTTCATAGTTTGTTAGTTGTGGGCAGGATTGATGGACAAACCCTAAAATCATTCGTAACACATTGGCCACCTCAGCGGTGGCAAGAATATGAGCCTCTATTGACTTACTGCATCAATAATGGGATTCGGCTTGTTGCTTGTGGGGTCCCACTTGAGGTACTAAACTTTTCGTAAATTATCGCTGTGGCCGTAAAATATTTTTCTTGACTTTATACTGGTTTGAGTAGGTTCTAAGAACAGTTCAAGCTGAAGGTGTTCTTGGTCTTTCTAAAGTCGATCGTAAAAAATATGCTCCGCCAGCTGGCTCGGGCTTCATCTCGGGTTTCCCTTCCATCTCTCGGAGATCATCCATGGACAACAATTTTCCCAATCAGTCTGCTACATTTGGCCCAATGTCGTATCTTTCAGTACAAGCAAGAGCTGTTGAGGATTACACAATGTCGCAGATTATATTACAAGCTGTGTCCGATGTGGGGTCCACTGGCATGCTTGTTGTAGTAACAGGGGCTAGCCATGTCACGTATGGGTCCAGGGGAACTGGGCTGCCAGCAAGGATTTCGAGGAAAATGCAGAAGAAGAATCAAGTGGTGATTTTACTCGACCCGGAGAGACAGTACATACGAAGGGAAGGCGAGGCCCCGATTGCAGATTTCTTGTGGTATTCTGCAGCAAGAACTTGCAATAGAAATTGCTTCGATCGTGCTGAAATTGCTCGCGTTATGAATGCAGCTGGCAGAAAAAGAGATGCCTTACCCCAGGTCAGAAAAACAAAATCTAAGCTGTTTTTTCACGTTCGAGCAATTCGAATGCACAAGTTTCACATTCCGTTGTAAAAAAATCATTTGATGTTTAGCGTAGTATTTTGATACCTTTATAAATTCATTTGCTGCAACAATAGGCATCAAATGATTTTTAATTTAAAATAAAAACATATGATTCTCTCATATGTCAACCATAGGCAACCCATAGGCATCGAATGGTTATATTTTTTTATTGCCATGTGTCACTTTATCGACACTCTCGTATGATTCTTCTATCTCCGGGGTGCATTTTCGCATCCCAAGAGGTGGAACATCAAAATTCATCCCTATATTTTTTTTTTTCCTTTTTTGAGCATCAAATGGTCTTTGAGACATTTGCCCTTTTGGAGTTTTGCTTACAAGCCGAAAAGTTGTGTAAAGATTCTTGTTGTCCAGTTTGTACGTTTCACTTCACAATATTGAGACAAATTTTATGTGCTTGCCAGGACCTTCAAAACGGACTTGATCTTGGTCTCGTATCACCAGAAGTTCTTCAAAACTTCTTTGATCTGGAGAAATATCCTCTTATCTCAGAATTGACTAACCGATTCCAGGTACACTATTGAGTCCCCTCGATCTTTTTGCTGATTACGATTCTCCTATTTGAGGTTGACTATGTGGTCTCAATGCACAGGGTTTCAGAGAGAGATTATTGGCAGATCCAAGATTCCTACAAAGATTAGCCATAGAAGAAACAATCTCAATCACAACTACTCTGTTAGCACAGTACCAAAAGCGTAAAGAGAATTTCTTCGAAGAGATTGATTATGTTGTGACAGATACGCTGAGGGGAATAGTTGTTGACTTTTTCACAGTGTGGCTTCCAGCGCCCACGTTGTCATTCCTCTCGAATGTCGACGACATGAATCCACCTGGCAGTGTGGAGGCATTAAAAGGTCTTCTTGGCTCAATTCCGGATAATGCGTTTCAGAAAAATCTTGCAGGGAAGGACTGGAATTTGAATCACAGAATCGCGTCAGTATTTGTCGGAGGGTTTAAACTTGCCGGGGTTGGATTTATTTCCAGCATCGGTGCAGTAGCTTCCTCCAATGTACTGTATGCAATACGGAAGCTTCTTAGTTCGAGTTTTGATAACAAGCAAGGGAATAGACGGTCGCCTGTACTGAAAACAGCACTCGTGTATGCTTCCTTTCTTGGAACATCGGCTAATCTACGTTATCAAGTGAGTGACTGAGCTTTTTTTTGCTATTTTTTTTTTTATCTCTATGTAACATAACGGAAATAATGTTCTCTTGTTTTTCTTACAGTTTATTGCCGGAATTGTGGAGCATAGAATATCGGAGCAGTTCTCTGACCAGACATTACTTGTGAACATGATATCTTTTGTGGCTCGAACAATCAACTCCTACTGGGGAACCCAGGTTACGAAAACTGTTAAAAATCTTGAATTTTTTAATTATCTTTAAGTTTGTGTTTTTAATTTAATTAATTACATTACAAAAAAAGTGGCTGTTCTTTTTTATGTATAGTATAATGATAAACTGATACCAATCTTTATTATTTTTCTGCAGCAATGGATTGATCTGGCACGGTATACAGGGCTGCAGTCTCGTAAGAACGAAGAAGTTCAGTCTCAAATTCCAGATCCTTCAACTAATACTGCATCGGAATGCAATACTGTAGAAGATACCACCACGATTGATGAAACAAACAAGCAATAGAAACTTTTGCCTTCGGTACCTTTTTTTTTTTTTTTTTTTAATTAATTTAAATTTGTACCGTCAGAAATTCCGGGCATAAGTTATATATATAGTACAGAATGTAGGAAACAGAACCACACCTATGTCATTACAATGGCACATACTTGCATGCAGTTCAATATACCTGTTACTTATTCTTCCTTCCAGACAGAATTTAATGATATAAATTAGGGAATCTTTTCGCTAAAAAATTCCGAAGAATCGATGTTTAAATTACAAATACAACAAATGCAGTTATCACCAGGAAAGTGATTTAGCTCTGCTCGGAATCCTCCTCGTTTGTCTTCTTAACCAGCTGTTGCTTAATTGTCTCAAATGCAAGTTCTATGTTCATCAGCTATAGGTCATCAATGTAAATCAGATTTATCAACTCGAACTAAAAAAAAAAAAAAACCGATTAAAGAAGAGCCGATGCATACCTGTTGTTTGGCGAACCTGTTATGGATAAACAAGCCACTAAAAAGATCAAAGCTATCTCTCGACGCACTCTCTTTCTGCATGTAAATCTCTCGTTATTAGCACGCTAATGACAGCAAACTAGTAAAAAACGACATAAGTACAAATTAAGTACACATGTTTATTATACCACTTGAACTAGCTTCTGAAATCCTTTCGTGTCAATGGGTGTCGACTCGATTTCCATTTCGGCCAAAACCCTATCCGTTTATCAAAAAACTTTTAGTTACCAAATTTAGTAACCTATGTTCTTCTTTATAACTTTTACGAAGCTGATGAATAAAAATACCTGCCAACGGTGTGTGTAACGAATTGACTTCTGGCCGATAACTCGTCGTGCTCTTCACAAGTCATCTCCATCATTTTGCAACCCTGGTAATAAAAAATAAATCAGCTTCAAAAAATCCAATTTTCAGACATTAAAATAATGTACGTATGTAACAAAACTATTATCCAACCTCACTTGCGAAAATCTGCAAGAAACTCGAGCATGTAGCTTCGTTTGTTACTCGAACTTTATCGTACATGAAACTAAGATCTTTCCACCCGTCTCTCCCGCTCTCCGGCCCGAACATCGGATGCGTGCACAAAACATCCGAATCACGAGGCAAAACCTTTTTACCGAAAATTGTTCCAAGAAAAAAAAAAGTAATTAACGAGCCTAAAAATGCATTAAGGAGATAATCACGATTTATTTATTATTAATTATTAATTAATTTATTTAATTGCATACTTGCAGCATAAGGTCTCTGGGGTGTTCTTTCACCGACAGCACATCAACAAACAGAGTTGGCTGTTTCAAGCAATCCAACGGCAGTGATTTGATCACTTTTGACAGAGAAAGGATTGATGTGCAGAGCAGTATTACATCATTCTGGGATTCAATAAACGCCGTCGTATCACTGTTAATTAATACATACACTCTCTCATCTGTACGTATGAATTACATTATATTAATTTAATCAGAAAAAAATAAAATAAAATACAGTACCTGAAAAATGAGATGCCCAATTGATTGCAGAGGTCTGTGTAATCTGATCTCGAATTTGCCCTAATTGAATGCCCTTGTTTAATCATCGTCTTCACCAAGAATTGGGCAAAAGGGCCGAACCCAATTATACCTATTTTCAGAGGAAGAGAACTCATTGTTTGGGCAAAAGTCAACGTCTCTGTTGTACTCTTCAATTTATGCAGTAATTAATTAAATAAATAAATAAAACAGCATTTATTTGTTTTCAGGAAATTGAACTCAGGGACCATTCTTGAATTCAAACTCTTTTTTTTTTCTGTACAAATTAAACATTGATTGCTAAAAACGTTAACGATTTACAAGTTGTCCTATACATACAAACAGCCCTGTATCTATCTATCTATGTGTCTATCTATTTTAGGGCAAATCCCACCTAGCTTCATGCTCGATAATGGCAGGCTGGTCGTCGGCGGGTCTGGATTCATGGCCGGCTTCGTGGCTAATCACCACCGGCTTCATCATCCTATTCATCAGCTTATCCCCATTCAGTCTCTGCTGCTGCACCACCAGCACGGAGGCGGTGCTGCCAAAGTCCGGCGACGACAATATGTCCCCCACCACCCCAAGCTCCGGGCACTCGCTCCACGCGCCGAGCCCCATCAATATCTCCGACGCCTGGTGGTTCCTCCCCACAATCAGCAAATCAAAGCTGTTCTCCAAACTCCGCAGCGACGCCGCCAGCCCGACGCCGTCCTTCACCACCTGCTCCTGGAACTTGAAGTTCTGATTCTCCATGTTCGCCTGCCTCACCTCGTCGATCAAGTTGTTGTCCTTCATTCTCTCTCTAGCCGAATCGCTCCCGTATAGCAGGAACCTGATTATCGACAGCGTCACGTTGCTGTGGGCCCCCATGCGGGACCCGTAGCACAGCGACTCCGCGTCGTCGGGACCGCCAATGTAGATCACCGCCACGTGGAAGATCGACTGGTTGTTGAGTATCGACATCGACCCGGTTAGGATCCCCCGGTCGACGAGGATCCCGACCGAGCACGGCGCCTTCTCCATGACCTTGATGTTCATGCCCTGCACGTTCCGGTTCACGGAGCCGATCGAGCCGTCGATCTCCCAGTGCTTGTGGAACGGGAGGATCACGATGTTGGCGTTCTGGTCGAGTGCCACGCGGTAGATGTCGTCCTGCACCATCTCGAAGTGCGAGATGGCGCTGAACGACTGGATGGTGACGCAGCTCTCGTTGCAGAGCTCGTACTGCCGCAGGGCGTTGATGATGTGGCCCGACCTCGAGTTGTTGGGCTGCAGCGTCCGCGTCGACTGGTGGGCCACCAGCATGTGCGTGGCCCGCCCCACCAGCTCTTCCAGGAGGACCGCTATCACCGCGATCGGGCTCACCTCCGTCGCGTGCGAGGCCTCCAGGACGTTGATGATCGAAGGCACGTTGTCCGCGTTGTGTATGCAGACGAGTATCCTCAGCTCGGCTTCGCGCTTCGAGTGCTGGATCGTCCGCCGCTTCAGTGGGACGTGCCGTTTCATAGGATCGTAGAGTAGTTTGATCAACGGCGTTACGATTGCCGTCACTCCAACAACTGATATAACTGTCAGAGCAAACTCCTGATCTGATAGAATCTGTAATTAACAAACAGAGTTTGTTAATATATATATATATATATATATATATATACTTACCCCACCATCCCTCCACAAGTTGTACATCAGAAGTTCACAGACCCCTCTTGCATTGAGAATGAGTCCGATTATAATCGAGTCGTGGAAGTCGATGTTCAAGAACCGCGATGCGAACATCACGGCACCGATTTTGATAATGCAAGCGGAGAAGATCAACAACGAAGTAATCCACAAGGACTGTAGATCGATCGTGAAGATGTTCGTCTTTATCCCACTCGTCGTGAGGAATGTCGGGTAGAAAAACTTGCCGACGGGCAAATCGAGTTTGGAGATAATCGGCGCGCCGAACGGGGGTCCGTCGGGGACGATCAACCCCAGGACTATCGGGCCGAACATAAAATGCTGGCCGAGTAATTCCGTGATAAACCCGGTCAGAAGAACGCCGGCGAAACACAGGAACACGTACTGGTCCCCCAATGGCTTCCCCGTGGGTATCCTCTTCACGGTCTTCCTCACGAGCGGCCCGGTGATGAACACCATGAAGAACACAAACATAACCGCCGAACCGATGGACAGTATCGATTTCATCAGGTCGTAGCTTGACTGCAGTATTGCGAAGAGCAGCATGAGGATGATCATGCCCATGATGTCGCAGAGGATGGCAGTGGAGCAGGCGAGGCGGCCGAGGTCGCTGCTGGCGAGCTTGAGCTCGATGAGGAGGCACGAGACGTTGGAGAATGGCGTCAGGCACTGGGATATGCCGATGAACGGGAGCGCCCGGGCGAGCGAGTCGTCCATCTTGACGCAGGCTTTCAGAGCAAAGGCGAGCGAGACCGAGAAGAACAGGGTTATGATCATTACTGAGATGCCGATGACGAGGGGCTCCCGCCCCGGCCGCAGTATCATCGTGGTGTCCGTCCTGACGCCGATCGCAAAGAGGAAGAACATGATGCCGAAGGAGGCGGCGGTCTCGAGCGTCATGATGCTCCTCGCCGGGAACAACTCCGACCCCATGAGGCGTTGGTGCCCGAGCACCGAAGGCCCGAATAGTATGCCTCCCTAGAAAATCAAACATTTGTAACAAAATCAAACACAACAAAACCACATGCATGCATGCATGCATGATACGATAACAACGAGTTTTTTTTTTGTTGTCTTACGAGAATTTGTGCGACGATGGATGATTGTCCGAGAGGGCGGAGACAGATTTCGATGAGAATAGAGACAACAGAAATCGCGGAAAGCTGTAGAAGAATAAGAGGAAGAGCGTAGTTTAGGGTATTGTGCCTTATCCAGAAACCGAAGCTTGATATGTTGTCTTTATATTGACATACAATGTGTTTGTCCCCTGATGAGACATCATCAGTTGCCATTACAACAATATATATTTTCCCTGTTTATGATTTTTTCTTTAATTTTGTTTTTCTTTTTGTAGTTTTAAGGGTGACTAATTCTTTGTTTCAGGCGAGATAGTAAGTGGAGAAAAGATAGAAGAAAAAAAGAGGTTGAGTGAAATTTCTGTTTCTCTCTCACACACACAAAAACACACATACTCCATCGCCACTCATATGAGTGTGTAACACAGTTGAGAAGAATGGGAGGTTTGCCTTGTGTTGTGGTGTCTTTTGACATATGTTGGGTATTATTGTACGAGGTACACATTTGTTTTCCTTTCTTTATCATACTTCCATAATAGCCATTTTGTCTTTGTTTTTTGTGAATATGTAGTGTATATCTATATTTATATATTTACTTACTATAAATAAAAGTATGAAAGAAGAAGATATTATGCCTACACAAAAGCGAAATCAGATGCTACACCGGGTGATTGTTAACCGTAGATCAACACATAATCAGACACACATGTGTATGTGTGCTAGGGTTAACATTCACATAGTGTAAATAAGCGGGTGTAACATCTAACTTCTCGGAAATAGAAGGAATTTATGACGATAAATTGTAATTAATTAAATATTTGAATTTTATCGGATATTATGAAGAAAAATGATTTCTTATGAAATTTTATTTATTGAATTTCTTATAAATTATAATTTAATTATACAATTGAATTGTCATAAAATTGCATAAATTATACATTAGCTAATCATATTTTCACATCCAAAGGAGCCTATAAGAATTTTGCTTTAATTTGTTGAGTTTTATTGGGCTTTTAGTTCATATAAAGATGCTTTTGGGCCAAAGTTTTTATTGTAGATTTTAATTAGTATCGGATACGTTACTAATCTCCTTTGGTCCAATTATTAAATTAGGGATTAATGAGAGTGAAAGGATGAGAACGATGACGTGTGATGATAGTTATGGATAAGGACAAATGGAAGCATGGCGTCAGTTTTTTTGGTTTCAGGTGTACCTATACTGCTGCCTTGTCCTAAAGAAATAATAAATTAATTCTGCCTTTGGAAATAACATATATAAATTTATTATATTCTAATAAATTACTTACACATTTTTTAAAGATATAATTGGATTTTTCCTTATTTAAATAAAATTTTAAAATGTTAAATCAATAGCTTTTTTTTTTTCACTCTCGTATTAATAGTTCAATCTACGCACGTGACTCGCAGCCCCAACCCAAGTCTACGTGTCTATATATAATCACAGTCTCACACTCCCACTCCCACTCTCACTTTGTCTGCTCTTCTTCTTACTTCGATCAACACGATTTCTCCAAGCTCCAGGTTTCTCTCTCTCTCTCTCTCTCTCTCTCTCTCTCTCACACACACACACACACACACATTTATATTTTTGCGTATTCGTATTGTGTATAGTGAATGTATGTATGTATTTAACTCTGATTCAGTTCGTGCAGAGACTGTGTGCAATAAAAAAATGGCAACGTCAGCCCTGAATCCGAACGCGCCGATGTTCGTGCCGTCGGCGTACCGTACGGTGGAGGACTTCTCCGACCAGTGGTGGGACCTCGTCCACTCCTCACCGTGGTTCTGTGACTACTGGCTGCGCGAGTGCTTCTCCGATCCCCAAATCGAATCACTCTTTCTCGATATCACCGGCGGCGACGACGACCAAGTCCACGGCGACAGCAGCGCCATCACCGAAGCTTTCACCAAAGGCATGTCCTCCAGACTCCACTTTAATCAATTTCCGATTCGCTCGCCTTTGGTGAACTCAGTTACTGACGCCATTGTCGATCTTAATTTTTTTTTGCAGGGAAAGAAGGAAATATGGATCTGGTGGCGCTGGGGTGGTTGAAGTGGCGGAAGCCGCGTGGTGTGGCGGAGATGCCCAGGTACTGCGAGAAATCGCCCAAATTTGTGAGCATGAGGGTGAACCCTAGGCCGATCCAGCAGCCGCGCTAGAGAGTGAGTCGAGTTGATGACTCAGTGAGTCGAAATAAGAATAATCAGTTAGGAGCTTTTATCCTGTACAATTTGTTTTCGCCTGTAAGTAAACAACGACTTTTCACCTTAGCTTCTAACTTTCAAATTAGCGTTTTCTGTTCATATTTGAGTAAAATAAATCTGCGCTTTTTAAGCCTTGTAGAAATGAATGCCCTTTATTTGCTTCTTGATTCGGATTTGTTCTAACAATAATAAAATAAGCAGAAAAGCTTAACAGTGTAACTAATACAGAAATAAAGGATTAAAAGCTAGTTATCAAAAAAAAAAAAGGAATAAAAAGCTAATAATAATTAATGTATATTAATTTTGTTTAATTGGCATTTGGTGAATGTTCTTCTTCATTCCAAGTATTAGCTTGCTTCCCTATTTTGTTAAGTGCCCTGATAACCTCTGCAGTTGTCACATTCCCTGTGACAATCACCTTGTTTAACTGTCTATCCACATCATATGTTTCAATATCTGCACACACACACGCACACACATTAGAAAATTCTTGTAATAATCTAGTAATTGAATTTTAAGGGTTTTTCATAAAGAAATTACTATTAATACCTTCGATTTTCTTGATGGCCTTCAAGATTTTCTTGATGCATTCGTCGCAGTGCAATCCCACCTTCAACTCCACCACCTGTTGTCATCATTCTCCTTTTCATTAGAAAAAGGATAGGTGTGTGTATATATATCATATTACAAGATATGTAAGAACTTACATTAGCCATTGATAAATAACTTGGTTGAAAGAAGGTCAGAAATTTGAATTTGATTGAGTTTCTTGAGACTAGAAGAAGAAGAAGAAGAAGAAGAAGAAGAAGAAGAAGAAGCAGCTACAATGAATTGATTTATTTATTTAATTTTTAAATGGAATTTTGTGCATTTAAATGAGAAGTTGTGGGTAGGGGTATGTGATTCTTTTTTCTCCATAGGGGGGAATTTTGGCTTTGATGAAAGCACCTTTGTTGACAATTGAGGGGGCATTTTTCCTTCTTTTAATGTACACCGTTGTTTCTTTTTAATTGAACTTCATTTTCAGTGAGTTAACCAGGTAGTGATTTCCAGCTATATCTTAACATCAATTGAATTTTTGGAATCTGTCTCTTGCCATTTGCGGATGTTTTAGGTTGTTCTTTAAACAGTCGCTATTTTTCTTTTTTTCTTCTTTTAAACAAAAGATAAATAAATAAATGGCAATTTACGGCCACTCTAAGTTAACGTCAAATTATGAAAACAACGCTCGCTCTTGTTTGCATAATTACAGTCACCCCTCGTATTGTCTTACTTGTCCACTCTTACGGTGTCAAATTTACCTAGAGGTGTTCAATCCGATTTATAAATCTATCGAATTGAACCGAATGAAAATTTGGTACATGCCCATTACCAAACCCATAATTCGGTGCAATATTCCGTTTTTTATTATTATTTTATTTATATAATTATATATGTAATATTAGAATTTAAACTAAAATTAATTTAAGAAAAAAATCAGATTTTAAAATAGGGGAAAATACAGTTTGCACCCCTGAATTATGTTGTATGCATCAAAGACCCCCCTGAATTACAAAACGTACCAAATAGCCCCTGCCTTTTTTAGTCAAACATTAAAAAATTAACTCTACTAGTTTTGGGCGTGAAATTACCTTTTTACCCTTATTACTATTATATATATTATATTTATTTTTTATTTTTTCTTTGCCCCAATATAAGTTCTTTGCACATCTATCTTTCTCCAAAATTGAGTTCTTCAAAAGACAAAACAAGCTCATAAATAAAATTCTAATCTTAGGCGATAAATTTATTATGAGATAAATCTTAATTTTGGACAAACAATGGAGATGATAATGAGTGTGTGAGAACAATATTATTAACTAAATGAAAATATAAATTAAATATTTTACTATATTAATATTTTAAGAAAATATAAAATATTATGGGGCAAAATATATTCATCTTTATACATAAAATAAATTGTGTATATTTTTATACATATAGATATAACAAGTTAGGGGTAAAAATGTCAAAAAATATTAATTTGAGAAAGTCAACTTGACACATTGGCACACCACAAATGAATTGGAAATAGAGGGACTATTTTGGTACATTTCGTAATTCAGGGGGGTCTTTGATGCATACCCCATAATTCAGGGGTGCAAACTGAACTTTGCCCTTTAAAATATTTTTAATAAAATTTCGGTAATCCGGTTATTTATCGAACCAAATGCTAAACGGTGTGAAATTTTGGCATACCAAAATTTTGGTACAATTTTTACCGAATGAATGCTCCTAAATTTATCAACTGGATGATTTTTTCGTAAGATAATAGATAGTTGAGGGGTGACTGTAATTATGATGTAAATGTTCGATTTATAATTTAAGGGAAGGCCGTGATTTATACATAAATAAATCATAATTTTGTAAGATGATATATGTACAAAACCTGAGGTGCAACAGTATAACATGATTGTGGATTGGGCTTGATACTAGTATTTAATAACAAAATTTGACAAAATTAAACCAGTCAATTTGATTATGCTAAATTTGTTGTGGGGTTTTATAATTTTATTACATTTACACAATTTAAACATCAAGAGAGATATTTGTATTAAAGAAAAATTACATAAATAAGCCAATATTATAATACACTGGTACACAATATCAGTAATCAGTGGCGTAATAAATTAATAATTATACACTTTTGAGAGAGAGAGAGAGAGAGAGAGAGAGAGAGAGAGAGAGAGAGAGAGAGAGAATTTTTGAAAGTATCTTTTGATGAAGCTCATGTGATTGTATCTTCAGCTTCAGAGAAAAGCAACGAAATAGACGTTGACTTTAACATCTTCACCGCGACGCGCCGCCGCCGTGGTTCAGATCTCCTTCAACGGAGAGTTAGAGCCGCCGGAGGAGAAGGTGGAGCAGAAAAAAGTTCGAAAATCGGACAACCAAACAACAACCGCCGCGTGTCGTTGCTTCTCCGGAGTTGTTTTTTTTCTCTCTCTCAAATTTTCAACTGTAATCTCCAATCAAATTCAAAAGTCAATCCAAAGCGATCTCCACCGTACAATTTTTGCTCTCTTCCTCCAATCAATAATTGAAAGCCTCGAGATATTTCTTCTCCCCTGAGAAATCTAAAACCCCAAACAAAGGATTAATCACATACCAAAATTCCATAAATGGGAAATGCTTTGAGATTCCTGTACGGCAAATGCTGCCAACCTGCGGCCGACTCCGACTCGATCGGCCACCACGGCGTCACCGCCGACAACGTCGGCGTCTCCGCCCTGGCCCAGGACCTCTATAATTTTGAGATCACCAACCAGGTACCCATCTTCTTCCCCACCTGAACTTTTCAACTTTAACCAATTCAATCACTTTTTTTTTTTCTTTTTTTTTTTTTTTTTTTTTTTAATTTCATGGATTCAACTTTGAGCACGATCTGAGTTTCTGAGTTATTTCAGAGTTCTGTGGACCTGACTTTCAATTAATTATTAATTTTTTATTTTTATTTTCAGGTTCCTCAAGGATTAGGTAAGCATGTTGTCTCATCCAGAAAAGCCCAAATCAACTGGTAATCACTTTTAATTAGTTTTAATTTCCAAGTAAAATGTCCTTAAAAGTGAAGTAATTATTAACAGAATCTTCAACAAAAATCCTGCCATTATCATTATAAAATGAATCCCTAATTCTCATTTTTTATTAATGCGATTTTGATGAAGGTACAAGAAACTCTCTGATGCGTGGAGAGAAACGAAACCACCCCCAAAATCACCTGAAGAAGCTTCAAGGCTTGTAATTCTGACGTTGAAGCGACATCAAAAGGCCGATGTTGAGGTACTGATAATGTCGTTACACACTACATCTATATGAGAAATTGATGTCAGAATTATAATGCTCGATTCGATTTCTGTTAATAGGGATTATTGGCTTTTTACGGTCTTCCGTCGCCTCATTCTTTGGTTGAGCTCACTACTGTGACCCCTCCATCACACCAGCAGGGACTCAAATTTGAATTGAATACTCTACCTGTAAGAACCAAAAAAAAAACACATTTTCTTTTAACCTTTTTTCCACCATTAATCGAAATCGGCAACTTTTTCGATTGTATGAAATGTTCTATAGGTGGACGCAAAAGCTGTGGCAGATGGAGATACAGTAACTGTATACGTTAGCACAAACGAGGCTAGGGAATCTTCATGTGTACCTAGAGAAGTCCAAGCGGCAGCTGTTCAAAGAGCAAAAGCTCGTTCTCAGAGGAATTACGACAAGGCTGATGAACTTCACAGACAAATTATTGATTCGGGATATAGGTATAATTTTTGTCTTCGTGTTTATTTAAATTTTTTTTTTCTGTTAAAAAGAAGACAATGTTGATGAGGGTTTTTCATCATGCAGGGTACTAAACATTCAAAACGAGGAGACTCTTGCGAAAAAATACAGAATAAGATTAAGGTTTTTGTTGGGCACTGGTAATGGCATCGTTGCGAATTTGATGTTATTTTTTTTCTTGGGAGAATAACATTTGGATTGGAAATGTGTAACAGGGGAATCGATGCACCAGAGAGCAAAATGCCGTTTGGACAAACGGCTAAAGAGGAATTAACGAAAATTGTTCAGGACAAGCGTTTAAAAGTCTTGGTATTTGATGAAGACCGTTACGGTCGATGTGTAGGAGACATATATTGCAATGGCATATTTGTGCAGGTAGGTATATTCGATAAACATTATACATACACTGTACACACGTGTATATAAACCAATACTTTGCGTGTAGGAATCGATGCTGAAGAAGGGGCTAGCATGGCATTATAAAGCCTATGACAGACGCCCAGAGTTGGATAAGGTAATCATATCACTAACCCTAGTTTTGTTTGTTTGGTTAATATCGAACCCTTTTTCGAATTATATTCTCTAACACGATTGGTTGAATGAATGTATAGTGGGAGAAAGAGGCACGGGCGAAACGGATTGGTTTATGGGCGTCTTCGAACCCTGAGATGCCATGGGAATGGAGAAAGGATAGGCGTGAAGGCAGATAGATAACCCTGCGATATCCTACAGTTGGATTGAAGGATTGTGATTGTATTATTACTGTACTATATGTAACTTGAGGCTATGGTAATTAATATTGGCAAGGAAGGATTCAGCCATGTATTAATATTGTAAAATTGTAAGATTTTTACTAATTTATGAATTTCGTGTGCTTACAAAACTTCGAGAGTGTGCTGTACAGTGTTTCAGATTTGATAATTGTCTGTGATTTAATAAATGCACTGCTTTTAAATGTGTTTAATGTCTTTTAATTTGAATCAACTGAGGAGATTCGAACACGAAGGTATTTGTTATGGCACAAAACCTCTCGTATTTAACCTTCAGGGTTGAACTCTCTCTAAGTTGGTAGATCACGGAGAATAATCCAAGGGAAACTTGAATATACGAATATGAAAATCGAAGTAACACTGCCATAAAGAAAAAAGCATAACTTTGAAATGCACGAAATTGACAAACTTGGGGGTATAAAGGGGAATAAAGTTGCATTTTTTCTTACTTCCCTTTTATGGTTTCAACACCGACAGGGCAAAATCAACAATTACAGAAAACATCAAGCAAAAAAAAAAAATACAAACAGCAGTTCAGAAGTGATGTAGCTGGCAAAGAAAATCAAGAAAATGACATAATTAAAAGAGCAATGTGCTCTTTGAAACCCATATTCTATGAATACTTTTACAGAGACCTGTTAGCCACAGGCATCGAGGCAGCACACAGATGCACTGCCAAAAAAAAACGGAAAAAAGAAAATCATAAGCACAAAGAGGGCGGTTCAGAAAGTCAACACTATTCGTTTCTAGCATTAAGGATGCACTTGTACAAATAAGTTAGTACTGTGAAATCGCATAACTATATCGTTAATCAAACACCAGGAGATAAAAAAGACTAGATTTAGTTATTGGTTTGATCGTTTATACAAGTTTAGCTTTCATGTATTAGGATATTCTATTATGCCTGTCTATCAAATTGCACGCATGTAATCTACTATGCATGTCTATTACGAAAAATCTATTATGCACCCTTTGTTTATCTTGCTGCATCGGGGAGTACGTATTTCAATAGTGACAATAACGGAATACGTACAAGTAAAGACAGAAAGCAATTCACGAACACAGAAAAAGAAAGGCTCCTAAGATATTATCAATCGAGGCAAACTTTTATTCGATTAGTTTAGTAAATGATATACGATAGCCAGATAGCAAGAAAAGAAAAGGATGCAGCTCACTTTGTTGTTTATTACGTTACCTACGTAAACCCCCCACGTTTATCCTATTTGGCTTCTTCCTTGGGGTCATCGGAATCAGAATCACTGGCATTATATCCTGTAGACCAAAAGCACAAAACGTCGAATTACGAAAAAATAAACAAGAAAGTAAAAGAGATGGAAACACTAACGCTTTTATTACGAAAAAAGATCACTCACCTGGATGTTTATCACCTACTTTCCATACTGACGACCTAGTCCTCGAGGCCCTGTTAATCCATGCTTTTGCCTGAAACCAAAAGGCACCACAAATTAAACTACTTCCAGTATTCGTTGCACACAAACGCAAAGCAAAATCCCACGTTTCCGATCGTAGAAACTAGATAGATACACCAATAGTTTTCGTTACTCGTACAATTCGAAAATCAGAACGAACTATATCAGAGGACTTAAATAGGGGGGAAAAGGCTAAATCTAGTTCCGTAAATTTCACATCTAATCGTAGTTAATCGAAGTGCTCTTTTTGACTAATTATTGTATGGTTCTTATGTGTTAAATCTTTTCACACAAAATCCTCGTAAAATTCGCACAAAGATCAAGACTTTAAGCAACCAAACAAGCCAGTATAGAACGGATATACATATGAAACATTAACAGAACGAAAAAAAACAACAAACACTAACGAATTTAAGAAGAAAGAAAAGAATCGAACATACCTTCTGGGAATCTCTACCAACCCCATATCCGCTGTAGTACATCTGGCCGACGAGTACCTGCATGGAAGTATCGCCGTTTTTGGCCTCCTTCAGTGTATCCTGGAACCACCGCTTGACACAGTCCGCCACCACATCAGCCAGCGGCGTCATCCGCTGCCGGTCCGAGTTCTCCGCCGCTTCCATGTGCCGATTGTCTACCTTCAGCTGGTGGTTCGAACCGGTTCTGGGCCCAGTCGGGTTGGAGGGGGAGATGGGTCGGGCCTTGGATGCGGGTTTCAATTGAGCACGGCGATTGGACCCGTTGTCGGGGGAAGCGACGAAGCGAGCAATTTGTTGGAGTTTTTGAGAAGATGGAATCGATTTTCCCATAAACATAAAAAGGCGACAGCGGAATTTTCTTTTTATGGGATTAAATCGGTGTTCCCTTAACCTTAATTAGTGCGCAGCTTCGTGGATAGTTCGATAATAATGCCTCTTATCAATTTGATTTCTTGATTGGGGGTTTTAGGGATTTGATTTGAGGAGAAAGGGATAGGGATGATAGGGAGCTGATTTTTTTTTTTTTTTTTTTTTTTTATTTATTATTATTTACTTTCTCCTTTTTTTTTTTATTTAATTATTTAATATTATTAAATTAGTTATTCACTTAATAGAATGATAAACATTGCGATCGAGAGGGTTTTTTCTTTTCTTTTATGTTGATCTTCTACTTTCATCTCTTCTCTATTTTGTTTGTTAATTTTACGTACTCTTTCTCCGGACGCAACAAGATCTTGTTCTCACGGGTCATAATTCACAATTGTTGGTTCGATTGTGAGCTCGAAAGAAATCCGCACTCATTACATTAAATTCAACCTTCTCCGCATCCTATAAACGCTGAAGGGTTGTTCGATCCAGCCACTTGGGAACAATAGATTCGTAGCCCACTTTAATCACTAGCTTGGTCTGCAACATGCCTTGATGGGGTCTCCGTGACGTTTGGAAAAGAATGTAGTGTTGATCCAACCTCTCGCACCGGATAAGGGACTCGAATGTCGTGGCGCTGAACACGATGATAATTGTAGTCCGAATGCATCAAATGTTGGAGATAGCTACGCAGATTGGAACCAAACTCGGTGAAATAGTGGATGTTTTACCTTCAAAGAAAGTAGTATACCGTGAATTTTTGAAAGTGAAAGTCCACCCGGATATTTCCAAACCTTTGAAGAGGCATGTTTCTTCATTTCATAACTTGGATAGCTCGAAAGTGTGGGTCCCACTCACCTATGAACGGTTACCTAATTCTATTTTTGTGTGCGGGATCATCGGGCACGACGAAAAGAGATGCGATATAACCTTCCTATGGCCTCTAATAATTTTTGCATGTCAAGCATCTTCCATGGGCTTTTCGCCTTGGGCTATCTTATTTGTTAACACCATAATTTGTTAGAATTTATTTGGTTTTGCTGGTCCATCAAATTTGAAATTTCTATACCTTCAACATCAATTTGTCCTAATTGTTAGGTTTGGGAACTAATTAATTTATGATATATTGTGGACAGATATATTTTAATTAATACAATTTTGTCACGCAAACTATATGTGATGACCAAATCCTAGCACAATTTCCTTAAAATATCACCCTCATGATTGGCAGTTGGCAATGATTAATAATTAGTAAGCTGCAGCACTTTTCAACGATTTGTTCTATACTATGATTGATAAATTTCATCTTATTTATTCGATCATACACATGTATAAATTCATACGTATTTTATACATGTGCACGTATATATGTGTGTTTTATGGGTTTGAAAGATCTCGGAGTGGTGGAGACACTGTAAATTGACGATCATAATTTCGATTATTGTACAAAAACAACGTCAACAAAGAGGGAATCTTTAATTTTGAATAAGTCCATCATTGTACTCGTAAAATTGAAACTAGTAAGTTCTTGTTTGCAGGTTACGTTTGAATCTGAACCATCAACCACGTTGAAATTTGTGTCTCGTTTATCTATATTTTTTTACATCTCAAAATCAAGGCCTAATTTATTTGTTTTTTTCTTTTTCCAAAAAGAAGGCAAGATAATAAGTGAAAGGTTGTATTTTTTTCTGGCTCTTAGTATGTTAATTGTTAGAATCCGAGAGGATTCTAATTTCGGGTTTTCAACACGTGTGTGAAAACCGTGTATAAAAACTAGGGAAGTTTCCTTAGTTCTTTAAACTCTTATTTTGTCATTAATTTATTTAATTGCCTAAGTGTTTTGTTAACAAGGAATTTTCTTGACTAAGACCCTTCTTGTTACACAACTCTTTCTTTCCTTACGTGAGATCAAATCTAACCTAATGGGCTCTAATTTTGTGTAGGGCTCTACTATTCTCTAAGGAAATATATATAAACAAGAGCATCAACGTGTGGGCAGCTTGTGCCTTTATTTTGAGAGAAAAAGATTTCTCTTTTCTTTGCTGCTCCTGGAACGTCTTTGATCGAGAGAAGTTTTTCACAGAAAATATTTTTTTCTCTCGTTTTTTATTGTTCCATCGTGATACGTGATTTTCATAGAAAATATATCGGCTTCAAGGATTTGTGGTGAAGACACCAAGATTCAAGGAGTATCACAAGTTTGCTTCTTCTATACAAAAAGAAGATCGGTTCTTCGGGAGAGGGGCTTAAACAGATCTCGGGAGCAGATCGATCCGCCGACTGAGGGATTCAGCGTTGAAGGGAGTTCAACCGTGCGGAGCAAGGGACGTGCTGCAAATTGAAGATTTATAATTCAGCGTAGTATACAAGAACGGCGTCAACAAAGAGGGAGTCTTTGTATTTTGATTAAGTCCTATTATTGTATTCGTAAAACTAAAAATTAGTAAATTTTATTTGCAGGTCCCCGTGGATGTAGGGTACAATTGTATCCGAACCACATTAAAATTTGTGTCTTGTTTATTTCTGTTTTTACGAACTGCTTCACGAACTGTTGCAACACTTCACGCAACAGTAACGAAAAACTGAATCTGACACAAATAATTTATATCTGCACGAAATAAATTCTAACAATTGGCATCAAGAGCCTGTCACTAGATACACTTAGTGAGATTTTGGGATTTAAGTTATTTTTGTTTTTTTGTGCAGATATGAATAATCATCGTGAAGGCGCATTCCTACCACCTCTTTTGGGTGAATTGAACTACTCTGATTGGAAAATAAGGATGAAGATGTTCATCAAATCTATTGATGAATGGGCCTGGCGCGCGATTCTAATTGGTTGGACACCTCCTACCTCAATGAATGAGTCACACGAGATCATTCAAACACCTAAAGAGAAGTGGAGTGATGAAGAAGTACGGAAAGCAGATTATAATTCAAAGGCAACCAATGCTATCTTGAGTTGTATCGATGAAGACCAATTCAAATTGATATCAATGTGCAAATCAGCAAATGAGGCATGGGATGTTCTACAAGAGACCTACGAAGGAACTACTCAGATAAGCGAGTGCAAAGACACTGTCGCTGAAACTGTTGCAACAGTTGGACAAACTGTTCAGACAGAACTTAGGTATGATAAGTTGCATTCAATATCTGATAAAAGATTAACTCCGTTAAATCTTGCAGGTGATGATTGGGATTCAGAAAACAACAGTGATGATGACGCGTCATTTTTGGAAGAATTAAAGGAGTGCTATGAAAGGATGTACGAAAAATTTCTTCAGGTATGCGAGTCGAATAAATTCTTAGAAAAAGAGAAGCTTGTCCTAATTGAGGAAAACAAAGTATTGAAGGTAAGAATTTCTACTCTTGAACAAAATATTATTTCTGCTAGTAGAGAAACAGATAGTTTGAAGGCTAAATTTGCTAAAACCCAAGATTCTATTTCAAAATTAAATACAGGTAGGGTAAATTTGAATGAAATTTTGAGAATAAATCAGCCGTACTATGGTCATCTAGGTGTAAGGGGTAATAAACTATCTGATGATGCTTTGAAACAGAAAGAAGATCCAATAGGAAAAATCAATTTTGTTAAACAATGCACTGTTTCACAGACTGTTGCGACAGTTGCGCCAAAACAGTCATTTCCAAGAAAACGTTTTGTGCCTATTTGTCATTTTTGTCATGTTGCTGGTCATATACGACCCAGGTGTTTTAAGTACTTGAAAATGGTTAAAAGAATAATGGCCCGCTCACCACTTTCCGCTAAAATTGATCACACTTTTGTGTCGTCTAAAAAACCCAAGATAAAGGTTGATTCAGTGAATAAAACTCAACAAAAAATCTGGGTAAAGAAATCTGATCTTAATTGTTTATCTGCCATTACTTCTTTAAAATCGTGTGATGATAGTACTAACTGTTCGAACAGTTCTGTTGACAAAATTGGATTGGGGCATAAATTCTAACATTAATTATTATTTATAATTGATCTTCTTTATCAGTTGTCACAAGATTGCATAAATTGGTCCATTTAAAAAGTTGAAAGGAGCTTATAATATATATACGTATATATATATATATGTATATGTGGGATATTTATAGTTGGTGGAATAATTCTAAGGCAGGCAATCAAAGTGGAGGACATGTCACAACAACATAGAAAATAGACAAATTAGTTTACTATGTATTCTTTTAAGGATGTTCTTTTGATACTATATATCAACTGGCGAAACACTGTGTTTATTTATTTATTTATTTCCTTTTTTCTTGGTTTTCAAAAAATAAAAATAAATAAAATGTAAAGATTCGATTTTTAATTATTGAATTAATACTTAGCCACTTGATCAACTGAATCTTATCCATTGAGCAATGTTAGGAATATATTATAGAATTCAAACTTATATGCCCTCCCTCCTTAAAGGAAAAAGAATAAAAAATACAGTAAGAAGAATATGCTCCTGATGGAACAAGAAATTTCCTGGTCTGAAATTTGATATTGATCAAGATGGGGGTCAAAAATGCAAATATTAAGTTTTTGTGGGGGTGAGATGAAATCTGTCATACTTGTAATTGTCTTTTGTTACCCGCACTTGTCACCAGCCAGTGTGTTCCCAGCTGTCAGTCAAATCAAATCACTGACTTTCTTTCTCTTTTTATTTATTTATTCAAATTATTTTTATGGAAAAAGGTAAAATACCAATACTAGACGGATAAGAATCTACACGTATGACATCTCCTACCGTAGTTGACTAGTTGATATAATTTCGGAAAAACCTACTTAATTTTTCATAATTACATTTACTATCTGCAACTTATAGATTTCTCATATTAACATCCTTTCTTAGAGAGTGGATGTAAGAAATTTAGAAATTACAGTAAGTAGAATGTAATAATTTCCCAAAAATAAAAAGAAATTAATTTTCCATAATTACTTACACTCTGCAATTAATAGATTTCTTATATTAACATTTTTTCTTAGATGGTGGATATAAGAAATTTATAAATTGCAGGGAGCTGAATGCAATTTCCCAAAAAAACAAAACAAAAGACTAAGATTTATTCTTCAAAGAAGTGGCACTAGTTAAGAATTTAATATGTGCACGAATAGAATTTTATTTCTCAATTGAAAAAATAAAAAGATATTAGTATAAGTTAGTTTATAGTTTAGACTTTTATGGCATGGATTGTGACATCCATATTCATTTAATTATGTAATAATAAAAAAGAAAGAAGTGATGGCTACATATTTATTTAATTTATTTGAAAAATAGGATTACTTTAATCACTTGCTTATCTTTCAATAATCACTCAGTCTTATCATCTCACATTCTCACTTCTCAACTAAAGTATATTCTTTTAAAAAATGGCTAATGAGTTAAACGAAATACAGACTAAGTATGTAATTAAGTTGCACATTGTGTATTTGAAGTGGTTCACCATCTTAATTAAGGTGTAAATATCAAATATGTAATTAAATTGGTGAAGCTTAATTAGGAGAAATAATAGAAAGATAGAAAACAATTCATTCATTAACCAATCATCAAATTTATAAAGTGGTTTTATTACAAACGGAAGGTCACACAAAACACACACACAATCAAACAACACGAAATCAACGTTGCAAGTGGGTCCCACGATCCTCATCGTATTAGTCACCATCTCAACTCCGCGAAACTTTGAACTAAAGAAGCAAAGCAGCTGATCACTACCCCGAAATTCAATCCCAGCCGTTAAATTTCACATCGCAGGATCTAACGGTATATACTCCCTCAGCCCATGGCCAAACAACACACACACGCACACGCGATTTATCACACACTCTTTATTCTTATCTCACAATAAATATTATTTATATATTTTATAATAATAATAAATAGACTTAAAAAGCACGTGACCGAAGGGCTAAAATGGGAATCTTTTTAAATGGCAAGCACGAGACCCGGCACGGATTTGCCGACCCGATCCGGGAGGCTACTCTCCCAAACAGAGGGGCAATGGAGGGACACAATGCCGGTGGTGGTGGTGGTGGTGGTGGTGCAATCGGAGTTACCGATTCGGGTGACGGTGAGGGAAGTGTTGAGGTACTCACGGAGCTGGGTGATTATCCCATCGGGGGAGACGGTCCAGGCGTGGACCCAGGCAATGGAGCGTGACTGGTCGAAACCCTCGGCGAGGACGGTGGGGCCGAAGGCGGAGATGCTGTGGGGGAGGAAGCGGAAGTTGGATTCCTGGACGCCGGTGAGGAGGCGCATCAAAAATTGGTGGGTAGGGGGGCCGTGGAACCACCACTCGAGGTCCGGGGCGAGGATCTGCTGGATTGCCACCGAGTCGCGGCGGTTCAAGGCGTCATACAGGGCGGTCACCACCCCTTTCGTTAGAGAATCCTCCAGAATTTCCTGACTTAACGCCGCCAGTTCCTGAATATGAGAGAGAAGTGTGGGAGAAGAAGAAGAAGAAGATATTGGGGGAAAATGGTAGGAATTGGGGGAAGAGAGAGTGGGGTATTTATATAGAGAGATGGAAGGATGTTTTTGGAATTTGAATGGAGTTAGAAGGGTAGAATGGGGAATATGGTATCCTTTTGTTTTTAGTGGAGAAGCTGTGTGCAATAGTGAATACGTGGCGAGTAATGAATGGGGCCCTGGTGGGGTAAGTTGTAATTTGTGGAAAGTTCAGGGTTAGGGAATCGTGCCCAGTTGAGATGAGGATTTGTCCATATTCCTAAGCCCAACTCTCTTGACCCATTTGCGCCACTTCTGTTTGACTGTAGTTCTTGATTTTTTTTTTCTTTTTATTATTTATATATTTTCTGTAAAAAAAAAAAAATAGAAACCTTGGTGGCGATTTAATTTTTATTTTACATTTTTTTATATTAATTTAAAGAAATGGAAATTTGGCATAGTACAAACTCGTTGGTGTCAAAGTGTCAAGTGTGAAATAACTTGACATAATTGGATGTCAATTATTTATTTATTTAGGACTAATAATAATTATTTTCCAATTAATAATTGATAATAGGTGTTGCAAGTTGCAAACCAGTGCCACAACTTGGGGGCTTACCACAGGAGCCAACTTTTCTTATCAAGGTTGGCTAAGATTAATGGATGGTTTTCCTAAAATTAACAAATTAAGTACATAAAATTCAATAATTTTGACAATAAATCAACAAGAAATTTCAACAATTTCCACTAGTGGCAATGAAGATTCTCCTAAATACTATTTTTTAATATTAATTTTTTTTTGTGTAACCAATGTATGTAATTAACCAAAAAAAAAGAAAAAATCTAATCAACTCGTTTGGGTATAATATAGTAATTTAAGATAGTAATATTATTTATTATATAAAAGTAAATAATGCCACATCCCACGAGACAATTTGCATATGCAATGCCAAGAGACACGTTATGAACTAACACACATGCCATTCAGCCACTCGAGCACACCAAAATTCGACACGTTTTCGCATTTCGCCACTCACAACATATACCATAATTCAATTATTATAATATATATATAAAAATAATAACAACAAATAATATTTTTTGATATTATTGTTATTACTCTTGTATTTGAATTCCACATCATCAAAAAGTACGACTATACTATTTTAATCAATTATTTTGGTAACACTGAACCGAGTTAACAATTATATGCCTGCAGAATATCTATCATATCCTCCTTTGGTACTTCACAAATCTCAATTCTAATGACAGAATATATAATATTATTTTAGTGGTAAAATAAAATCAACAAGATAATATATGCTACACCAGATATTTGTTAACCATAAATGAGGTTCAATAACCACTCACTGAACACACATACACATGGGTGTGTGTGGTTATGTGTAGATTTACGGTTAACAATCACCCAGTGTTAACAACCGGGTGTAGCGTAGAATTTCCCGAATATCAACCCACCTTTCCCATATAAAATGCAAAACAAAAGGTGTTGTGTAACCTCAGCATGCAATTATTCAGTAATTAAACCCTTAATTAATTAATTTGTTTAAAGAACAAGAATGTGTGGTCGACGTTGTTTAATATTCTATTTTTTCTACCTTTATAATATAATAGATTATAATAATGTGATTAATTAATTAGCAGCACTATAATCTATACTATAATGTTCCTACTGTACATGTCAAGATCCACATATGATAAAACTTTTCACAACAAATTTTAGTTTAGTTTAGTTTTAGTTTTGTAATTAAGTGGTAATTAATCTGTCTTTCCTTTTTCATTAGTAAGTACTTTCTGGGAAGCTTCCTTCATCAAAATATGAACCTTTCATTCATGTCAGAGGTCAATTATAAACCCTAATCCTAGTTTTACACTGTCTGAACAAGAGCCAGTTTAATCAGCTTCAAAAGTCATTTTGTCCAGCTTATGAAATAACAGCTTATCTAATGACAAAACTTGTGAAACTTTTCCTATGAAAAGTGAAACAGTAATAATAATGCCCTAATCTTTCCTCAAAGGACAAATCAAAGATACAATGGTCATATGGTCTATAACTAACTAACTTCATTGTCTTAACTAGCAAGAAACAGCGTCGAATATTAACGATAATGTTTTAAGCAAATTCTTCGTCATGCTAAACCATAATTAAATGGAGTGTGTGTCTCCTAGTGATGATGAAAGTGAAAGAATATGCTTTGTGTGCTATGAAAGATTCTCAATTCTTGAAAAAAACTGTTTCTTCTAGTCGTCGTAGTATGAAGCACTTACCTGTTCATTTGGTCGTTAACGCACACAATCACGAGGCTTGATTTGCTCCGGTGGGAATTGGATTGAATCCTCGAAACCTCGTTCTTTCCTTGTTCACCGGAATGTGCCTTTATCTTGGAACACCTGAGAACTCGAAACCGGAATGATTTATTGCTTAATTGGCATAAAGTATAAACACAATGAAAAACAAGATTCTACATTCCGATGAAGGTTATATTAATCATCTGAAAGAGTTAAGGCATCAGATACTAAACACGAGAACTGATTATAGTTTAAATTTCTGACGAATCTAACACGATAGCAAACCAAAACAGATATACACAGGAAATTTCAGAATGAGGACAACAAAATCGAGAATATTGGGTGTTCGTATGAATACATACATACAACAGTTGTAAATACAGACAGCTACCCTTGATGTGAGGCAGATTTGGTACTTAAAAAACGTTGCGGTGCTATATTTCTTCTCTCCGTATTACTGAAGAAACAGGTGGCGTCATCGTTTCGTCTTTGCTGTGTGTACGAGATTCTTCTTCAATCAAAGAAAGCCTCGTTTTTGGACTGTTGTATTCCCTTGGAAACTGGCTAGGACTCGTGAAATATGGTGGAGAAGGGCTGTTCCCATACGGAGAACTCGTACTAGACCTCACCTGAAACTCCCCTTCTTCACGAGGCAGTGGCAAAATCGGAAAATTTTCGTCTTTTTTCCGGTAAAATTTATCTTCCACAATATCGTACGAATTCCCAGTCCTCACTTCCTGAGCTAGAGTACACCAACAACAGAAAAGCCAAAGTGCAAAATCGGTGACAGCTGGCTTACCGCAGCAAGATTTATCCGGCGGCAAATGAAACTTCTTCCTCATCTGAATCCTCCAAAACCCACCGTAGAGCAACCCAAAAACGCAGAGGAATATTCCGGTGAGGCCCAACGCCACCCTGACAGTCTCGTTGTCAATATTCACAGCTGCCAGATTGAAGATCCAAAACGGGGCCATGCAAAAGAGAAGAAAAGTGGCGATGTGTACGTACATATTTCCAAGCCCAAGCCTCTCCATATTCCACCCGAAAACACAGAAGCTGCAGAATAACGAGAGGTAAGCTAATGAAATATCCTCCCAAAAATCAAGAACGCCTCCACTCCACTGCGGTCTTGCCACTACATTTCTTTCTTCATCTCTCGATGCAAACGAAAATTTCTTTTCAAGAGATCTTCTCCTCGATTCACTCGGTCTGCTACTATCTTCGGTCGTGATTCGAATTTGAGATTCTTCGTCTGTTTCAGTGTCGTAATCTTTTCCAAGAGGGCTGAGCATGGAGTAAACTCCAGCAAATGCAGGGGCGCCGATTGCAACAGATATACATATTCCGACACCTATAGGGGGTCTTTCTGACCTCTTCAATCCTAAGTTGAGACCACATAACGCGTATTGGGCGAAACAGTTGAGGTTTAGAAGAACCAGGACCACCATCATGTGGGCCCACTCGTTGGGTTTGAAGGTTCCGTTTTTGCAGTAAAAGTTCCGGAGCTTCGTAACATCTTCGGACCTCCATCTTATGAGCAGGGCGAGGTGGTATATCCTTTTCGGGTGTTGGTATAAACACATGAGGGTGAATAGAGCGTTGAGTATCTGGTTATTGACTTCGAACCAAGTGTCTCTCTGGGACTTTTTCGGGAGAGAATGGTTCAACATTCCGGTCATGACCATGAAGAGAATCGCACCCGAAACTGCTACGCACACGATCCAGATAAAGAGAGCCAAATTCATGGGATCCCTTATCCATTCTTTGCTGATTCCCCAAAGAGAATTGAAATCGATTTTCTTGGAGAAGATTCTGTGGAAACGCTCGCGGAGATGGAGACTGCTGGAAGAAGGTACGGTGCGTGAAACTTCGTTCCTCACCTCGGCAAGTCGATAAAAACTCGCCGACGGTGATGACAGTGTACTAAATCTAGAAAACCCTAACTTCTTGGAAATGGTGGAGAAGCCGTATTTGTGTCCGTTTTGTGATTTTTCGTCGCTTATCAGACCTTTATGAGATGTCGAAACGTTGAGAGGGATGTGGCTAACATTACCATCGGTAGATTTCTCACCTCCACCGGTATCCGCATCATCACCAGTCGACCCCATATCAGTTTTACAATGTTTCGTGATCGAAAAACGAAATGTGACTAGAGCATAGTAATCAATGTGTTCTTGTTTAGGATGGGAATTAAATACCAGAGAGTTGTAAAACAGCAGAACCAATGGCAATCAGATATCACCGAGACTTTAGTGGATGACACAAAACACGAAAATCCAACCTGTAAAAAGCATTCAACAAAAAAAAAAAAAAAAAATCAGCCGAGAGTTTTGAATACTTAATTTGCCACAAACAGAAGAAGAAATTAGAAATTCCATAAGCATTACACATTAACCTAATCATAATAAACAATGATTAAGATGAATCCACAAATTTCCCCTAATCTTAAACAAAACGATTTATCAAAATTGAAGGTACAGATAGCAGCAGAGAGTCCACGCAAATTTGGGGGAAATCATGAAGTTGGACATAACCAAAAATTAAGATTCTCCATCAGTTTTATCATAAGAAGTACACAAACATGATTTGAAACGTAATTCATAAACAGACAAAAGCGAAGAAAAAATTAGTAAAGAAAAAGAAGTTCGCACCGATGATCGTGGAATAGAACAAAAGCATTGGGCTTCAATTCTTCCACAGTTGAGATTTCAGACTTGACGTTTTCTCAGTTTAAGCAACAGTTTTCGATTATCAAAGAAGAAGTAGAAGAAGAATCAGCTGCTTTTCACGCGTCTTTTTTATTTTATTTTTTTATATTTCTATTTTTCAAACTTTATTTTTCTAGAAAAAAATATTTTTCTAAGTTCAAATGGCTGAAAGTCCCAATTGACAACTCAAATTTCATAATCCAAATGGCGGAAAAATAAAAAAAATGTTAGGTATTTAATTTTCAAGGCGTGGTTTCTCAATTTAATGAGATAAATACTATTCTACAACTATTTCAATGGAAGAAAAGTTTATAGAATACTCAAGTATTATGTTATCATAGTATATTTTGTCTTCTAAAAATATTTTTTTTTATTGGATTTTCCAAGATTCAATAATACAATTAGGTTATATTAGATTATTTAACTATATATAGAATAATCTTATCTTGGCAACCAAACAAGTCTTTAGAGTATTAGTTGAATTACAAATGAACGGTCAACGGCCAAATAGTGCAATATTATTTAGGGTAAATTACGCACACACCCCTGAGGTATGCTTGAATAACTGTGAGGTCCCTGTGGTATCGATATTGAGGCCCAGCGCCCTGAAACGTAGTCAGAA